AGATAGATAGATAGATAGATAGATAGATAGATAGATAGATAGATAGATAGATAAATAAAAAGAGAACTAGAATACTTAGTGTCGTGTTTTCACCTTAATGATCTTCTGCAGGTTCCTCCACGTCTCCTCCAGGGCCTCCATGGTGAACCAGGTGTAGGGATTAGACACCACCTGGTAGCTCTTGATCTGCTGGTCCAGCTCTGCCAGCTGGTTGAAGTCGGTCTGGGCTGAGGTCAGTGAGGAGCGGAACGCCTCGTGGGCTTCGCGCAGGGCCCGGATCTCTTCCAGAGAGTTGCACCTCACGGGATCGGTGAGGTCCTCCTCTGCGTTCTCAAACCAGCTGTTGAATGCAGACGCCTTCTTGGCAAAGGTCAGGAACAAGTCTTCAACCTTTAGTTGGAGTGAAGAGGACAAAGTACATCATTAAAATGTGTCCAGTGGAGCAATTTTTATCCTGTGCTCAAACGGCAACTGACAAAAAATAGAGCTCTGACTGAATGGATTCAGGTGAATTTTTGGAGGTTATAATCCGTTCACAAAAAAAGACCCCCTGTTTTTACCTTTCTGAAGTGTTCCTGGGCTTCAAGAAGTTTCTTCTTGCGAGCAGTAGAGTTGGACAGGAGCTGGTTCCAGCGTTTCATCAGAGACGCGTGGCGATCCTCGATGGCTTTTGACTGGATGTGCTGAGCAGCGAGCAGCTGGTCCTTCAGAGCTGTAATGTTGGTGATTCCCTCCTGCTGGAAGGCCTGGAGACCGGCGTCAAATGTTTCCTAAGACAAAACAGAGAAAATACAAGATGTTATACATTATAACACAGAGAGAAAACCACCATTTTTTGTGTTTGTGTTGTGGGTGGACGAGTACCTGTTTGGTGAGCAGAGTTTGCACAGAAGACAAGTCACGGCCATAGTCATCGGTCTTGAGACTGTTTTCTTTCTCACCTAAACACAAACCACAACAGTGAATGCTTTACTTAAATAAAATTATGCTTATTTTTGCACAAAACAAAAAAAGATGTATTGTATTTATGATCTTACTCCATTCTTTTCAGTATCAAAGAGAAAACATTAATAAGCTCTTCGTAAGAATTAATTGCTTTGCTGAGCAACTATTCCTTAATAATAACTATGAGAACATGGCGGGGCTGAGTTGTTCAGATATAAGACCAAAACTACGAAAGATAAAACACCAAGTGTTGCCTTCGTACCAATCCAAGACTCCACCACGTCAGCCTTCCAGTTGAACTGCAAAAAGGCAGAGTTTTCATCCAGCTTGGCCTTCCTTTGAGCGGCCGCCCTTTCCAGCTCCGACACTTTTCCCCGCAGAGCGGACATTTTAGCAGTGATGTTGTCAACATGGTGATTGTTCTGTTAAAAAAAAACAACAAAAAAAACACACATTTACATGAAAACTTATTTTTTGCTATTGTATTGCATTAGTCAACATATTCCATTCTACTACATTTTACTGTCATTACCTTCTTGATCAAGTCGTCTCCATTAGCACACACATCATTGACTCTGTCCCGGTGTACAGTGAAGTCAGTTTCAAATGCTTCATGTTTTTTCAGCAATCCCTGTGAAAATAATGTCTTTCCATTAAACTAAGAACTCATTGTGCCTCATCATGGTGAATAGCACTGGTAAATCGGGTATTGAGTGGGTTTGTAACACAAATGTACCTGCACAGCAGCCAGCGTATCACCATAGTCTTCGCTACCGACAAGATTCAACTTCTCGTTAATCCACGCTTCTTCTTCTTCCACGTTGGCCACAAACTGTTGGTATTCCAGAGATTCGTCCAACCTCTTTCCCCTAGAGCCATAGATACAGTGGGGATTAGCTCTTGTTATTGTGTCACAGGCTATAACTGTCGTCCGTGCAGGTTACCGTGCTCCAGATAAGTCCTTCAGTTCCTTCCAGTGATCAATAAATTGAGCAAGCCTCTGCTGGATCTCTTCTTGGCCGATGGTGTTATCATCAGACAGCTTCTTCCCCGTGTCCAGCACCGACTGGTTGCACAGAAAAAACTCATTTAGCCATTCTACAAAAAAAAACAGTATTTCTGCCAGAACAGTCACAGCAAACTATTTCCAAACTATGTGTCAAAACTAATTTCTGGCAAGAGTCTCGGGACATCTCTAAAAGCCAAAATCAGTGACTCATTTACAAAAAACGCACAAAACATCAATTAACTGATAACTCTTCTACCTGTATGGCTGGCTCATGGGCTCCCAGCTCAGCCTCCAGTCTCTTATGTTTCTTCCTCAGATTCTGCACTCCAGTCAGGTCGCGCCCGTAGTCTTCAGAACCCACAAGCAGCTTTTTCTCTCTGGATGCGATCGGAGTAAAAGCGTGTCAGTTTTGTGGGACGATATCTCTTTAGGAAACTACAGGAGTGGGGGAACATGCTCACTTAATCCAAGACTCTTCATCATCCAGGTCCCTAAAGAACTGGTGCAGGCGGTGGGACTCGTTAAGTTTGGTCCGACGACCCGCCGCCATGCTCTTGATCTTAGCGAAGCGGGTGTTGACTGTGTCGCGTTTGTCCTTAACTAGTGAGGTGTCAAAGGCGTTGCTGCCCATCAGGCTGTCGGCTTGGCCGTTCAGATCCTTCAGACGATCCTGCAGAAGGACAGTGGTGACAGAGCCTCCAACGACACGCAAGAATGATGTACTGAAAACTGACTGTATTATACAACAACTTCTGTTAGCATTTTCTGTTTGTAACAGAACAATTCCCTTACTTTAGCAAATATTTGAGACACAAATAGAATTTTTGCTGTAGAACTTACAAATTCCTACTCAGCTCTTCACAATTGGAAATCCAAATCTCAAAGTCTCAAATTAATTTAAGATAGGAAAATGCTTGGCAGTGGGGTCCATTGGATAAAAATGATTTGCATACCTCGTGGGCAGAAATATCAGCCTCAAGCAGCTGGTGCTTCTTGAGCAGGTTGTTGACTGAGGCCAGATCTTTGCCGTAATCCTCAGAGGCAAGAAGGGCTTCCACCTGGAGACACCACCATCTGTCAGTTTTGGATAATCAGGTGCATCTTGGGCGTGTCGCCGTTACTAATTGGCATTCCATTCTCACCTCAGAGAGCCAGAAGTCAAAGTCTTTGATTCCAGTGTTGAAGTTCTGCTGCTTGTTCGCTTCCTTCAGTTTCTGGCTTTTTTCAGCCGACTTGTTGACGAGGAACTGCCACTGTTCATCCAGAGCACTGAGCCGAGCCTGAAAAACAGACATACCGTCTAAAAATGCGCTGTCATGTTAAATTGAACATAAAATATGTTCATTTTATGGATAATCGTATCTATTGTTGACCCGCCGCAGTTAAGAAAAATGTCAAAGACTATTCTAACCCAGTATTGTGACACAAATGGTCAGGTTCTGAAACCACCATTTGGTGCCAACTTTTGTTGGACATGTATCAGATAGTCACTTTACAATCAAGATGCAGAGTTTCTCGGTTTAAACTGATCAAAACGGCAATGCGTGTGGACTTACTGCATTTTTATAGCCAATGAAAGTGTTAAAAGTAAATTCCACTTATATAGAAAGTTTAAATCTTCTATAGTCACTACAAAGCACTTTACATGTATTCCTCATTCAAACATTCGCACAAACACACAATTTCCAGCTCTTTATCTCCATAATCACTAAATAAATTAGGCAAAGGGGTTATCAATGTTTGCACCAAGTACACCTCGACAAGTAAAAGCCATTTGTGCAGATTTCACATATTTATCATGACATTTTTAAGATTTTTACTGAGCAAATCATTAATGATGTTCAACTATTTAATAATGCTAATGTAGGAGTGCAGGGGATTAAATCCATTGGATGAGATATTCCATATCAGTTGAGGTTATAAGTCTTCAAAAGGTGCTTATTTCATTTGCCCTTCTCTGAAAAAAAGATGACAAACTAGACGGCATTTCCTATAATAATTGTGACTTCCTCTTTTGCAAATGTACTGATCATCTTTGCTAAGATTACACTAAAAAGGCATGTGGTCGCCTGTGATTATTACAGATATTTTTTTAGTCCTTGACTGATGTGATTTTCTTGTTTGTTGTGAAGAAAAACATAATCTACAACTCGATCAAACCACTAAACCACTTCCCTGTGATGATTGTGCTGGTAGTGGGATGGGAGGTACTGGATTTGTAACAGATATTTGGCCAAAAGGTGTAATCAGACCAGAGAGTCTGTGACCACATATTTAGTTGGTCACCCACAAGCTTTTACTTGAACTTAAGACTCAGGTGACACTTAAATGTTCTCAGTCACATTGTAAAAAACTATGTCTAGCTTTTTTTTGTTAAATTGTACATTTTTAATCGTTGTAAATTAAAATCCCATAAATATAAAGAGCATGACTTTTCCATGCCACTGTATCTAGCTAAATATTTCTATAAAGGTTTTGTCAAAAGAAATGCTTTAATTCAATTAAACCTAATGCCAAGTGATTTAAAAAAAATGCATTTTATGTGCAGAACTATAAAGAAGCCTACACTAAAATAACACCATACCAGGAAACATGGCTTTTTGAATTTAGACAATAATATAGCTACTGTCTCTATTCACATCTAGCAGTAGGTCCAAATCAGTACTCATCAACAGAAAAATAAAACGTCTCAAATTCTTTTACGCAGCTCGAGAAGGCACTCAAATTTACCTTGACAGCATCTTCGCTGCCAGCACAAGCTCCTCTCTGGATCAGGGCGTTGCCGGTGTCGATCACTCCACGAATCCTGTCTGCGTTGGCATGCAACTCAGCTTCAAATGCTTGATGTTTCTGATGCTTGCTCTGACAGATACGGCATTAGAGATCAAGAGAAAGGGACAGAAAAACAGACATCAGGTTTATGATATATTGTGGATAATGTCTAACGTTTTCTAATGTATAGTGATGATGTTCAATACTCACATTGAATGCAAAGAGAAAATAAAGTCTGTTGTACTCGGTACAATATTAATTAAACAACTAATGTTACACTTACAAAAAGAACTAGTTGGTTTTGTTGTAACTGAATCATTAAGGCTACATTCACACTGTTGCCTGACGTGACCCAAATCCGATTTTTTGTTAAATCCTTTTTTTTTTTTCTTTGCATGGTATTTAACATTTCCAGATATATGCGACATTGTAAGGGTGCATTGCAACCTTACATTGTCGCATGCATGCACACGTCGCATACATGCACTTTACACTTTGGCATTTGAGCCATCTACCTTTATGATGGTTTGGCCTGGATAGAGCTATCCTCCCTAATACTAATAAATTCAGAAACCTCGCTTTCTGTCTACCGACTGTTTTCTTCAATATCAGCTGCCATGGTTTTAGTTTTCCCTTTCGAATAGCAGGACGCAGAATAGTGGCGTTTGTCAAGTATAAATGACTTGCGGGCCGGATGAATGTGATACAGGTCACTTTTGAAAAGATCAGACACGTATCGGATGTAGGACCGTTCACACCGTCATGAAAAAAAGATCGGATACAGGTTGCATCAGGGAAAAAAGCTGGATTTGGGTCACTTCAGACTGCAGTGTGAACGTAGCCTCAATTGTAGAAAAAACAATAAATGAGTTAAAAGCGACAAGTATATTGTAAAAAAAAAAGCTTCGACAGAACAATGACAACAAAGGACTACGTGAAAGGGCACAACACAGGACATAAAAGCGAAAAACATAAAACTGAACACAACATCTGCAACAGATGTGACTGAGAAACGATCTGGAGGAAGAGTTCCAATAAAGCTGCTTTCTATTTGTATCTATCTCAATTTGTATTGCCTTTGTAACACAAATGTAATATAGGTAATGTAAAGGCAATCAGAATCAGAAATACTTTAATGTATCAGGTAATACTAATACTAATGTTTTGGACATTAGCTTGACACCAGTGGCAGGTTCAACTGCAATACTATAAGTCAGTATTGCAAGTCAGTAAGGAGTTCTCAGTTTTGATTCATTGGACCGTAGATTCAAATTTTTGAAGCAGGCTTAAACACAACTCCCCTCCAAGGAACTGAGAGTGAAATTAGAAGTCACACTCAACTATCTTTGATAAACCAAAAAAGTCCTCCGAAAATTTAAAGACAAAACAACATCAAGTAGAAAATTGTTGAACTAAATTAATTCCACAGTGTAAATTAAGCTGGCACCCAACAGTCCTGTTGAGGAACAGGAAATAAAATGCTTCTTTATGTCTACACAAACGTTTTGTTGTTAGTTAGCTGACACAGTACTCAAACTCACCAGCAGCTTCGACAGCTATAGAGGAATAAGAGTAAAAGAATGATTCAGTCAAGACAAAGGGAGAATATAATACAGTTCAAAAGATAGAAGATCATCAATACAAGACAACTCAAATCAGTTACATTTCGTAGGAAATATAAAACAACAACACAGAAATAAAAATTCAAATCTATTTAAATTCACTTCTCTTCTACTCATTTTTCTTTTTAAATATGCTCTAATGTGTACCTGGATGTTGGTGGGATCTTTGTACGACTCATCTGTTGCAGTCTGCAGTTTTTCACTGATCCACGCCTCAATCTCATCCACATCCCGGCTAAACTGCTGCAAGGTCTGGGATTCACCCAGTTTTGAACGCTTCTCAATCATCTGGGCCTTAAGTCGTCGCCACCTTTAAAAAAAAAATCAGAATCTTTCATTAAAAAAAATAAATAAAATGAAATGTATCATTATCATATAAAAATCTGATTTAAAAAAAACTCTGGACTGGACTAAATGAACTATAAAATATGTACATCCCATTTTGAAATTTTCCTTATAAATAGATTGATTATTTAGATAAGGTCTTCATGTTTAAAAAAAAAAAAAATCAGAAAGGGTGGGGTCGGTAATCAAAACTTGTTCCAGGTCGAGGGGCTGATCTATGACAAGGCAATAAAATTCAATTGAACAGATCTGAGATAATTTGTTGCTGTTCAGTTTTGCTTTAGAGCAGTAGCTTCTGGCCAGATTAAGTAATGAAGTCAAAGTTTAGCCTTATTTGCATTAAGAATGGTCTAAAAACCAGATAAAGGCCCAAACTATAAGCATAGTACTGTGCAATCTGTAAGCATTGTTAATGTTAATTCTTAATTATTCATTTACAGCCATAGGCAATGTTTATGTCATGAGCTTGTATTATTACAGTAAATCTATCCATGTTTACTTCATTTGAAGATTTGCAAAGCTAAAGGAGACCTCAGAATGTGTGCATTCCATCTATACATGATAATGGTATATGGTAAGATGCAACAGTACTGCTAAAACTGCAACTTTGATGGAAGACAAGTGAGATAAGGGTGGGAAGCAACAGAGGAAAAGGAGAGTGATTAAAGGTGCCGTTTTGTTTTTGTTTTCCCCAAAAATAAAAGGGTTAAACAGTTGTAGTTGTTTGTGTCTCTGTGTTACAACACACTTTTCTAATGTCCAGGATGCAAACAAAAACAGCAAAACAGCCACTACACATTAGAGAGGAGGAAAGGGATCTCGAGGACCCTTCTTCCTAAAGGACAGATGTATATGTTGTTTTCAGCATGTGTTGTAAAATACTTGGTAAAATACCAAGTAATATCAATTTTAATGACCTAAGACACTTGTTCGAACTTACATTAACTCATAGTTTGATATACATTTTGTACATATATGAGAGTAAATAGTGATAAAGAAAAACAACAACTAATCTTACCGGTCAAGAACTTCATTGCGGCGGTTAAAAATCTCAGGTTTGGCGTAGTGGTCAGCTCCAATTAGCTGATCAGCAAAGGACTGCAGAGCAGCAATCTTCTCCTCCTGTGCACATGGATTTACACAATGACACACTAATAACTTGAAAAGCTCTCAGAGAGTTCCAGAGGCACATTTAACTGACCTGCACATTAATGGCCTTGTCAAAGTCCTCGTGTTTCTTGATGAGGGCCTCCACGCTGTCCAGGGAGTCCCCCTTGTCATCGCTGGCCAGGAAAGCCTCCCGAGCTGCCATCCAGTTTTCGGCCTGTTCGCAGTCCCTATTAAAAAGCTGAGGACACATTTCCAATGTCAGTAATATTGAAAAAGCGGCTTCTAAAATACTTATTCAAAGAATAAAGAATGACCTGGAGCTCAAGGCACTGATCCAACATCATGCGGCGCTGAACCCAGGCCTGCTCTAAATCGGCCCGCTCTTGGTCCAGAGCCTGCACTTTCTGCTGAATCTCTGGAGAAGCATAGTGGCCTTGAGCCAGCAGCTGCTGGCCAAACTGTTCAAAGGCCTGGAAGGTACCGGCACGAGCATCGATTTCGGTGCGGTGTTCCTAGAAAGACAAAAGAAGAAAGTATTGACAGGCAGCGCAGACTGGCAAAAGCCTTTTCCGAATGCAAAATCACAAATGGAAAAACGGGGGGGTACCTGGTGTCTTTCTAAAAGGGCTTCCGCTCCAGTTACATCTTTAGCCAGCTCCTCGGAGGACACCAGTCCTCGAATGCCATTAATCCAGGACATTAGATCCCTTAAAAAATAAAGCATATACAACAAACCTTTATGTATTTACATACATGACGTACATAAACTCCATCACTGACTGCCATTGGTTATGGGGGCACACATAGACGGATTTGGCTCAGGGCTCTATTTCTCAGTGCTTTTTTCCCTCCACTTTACATTTACGTAATGCTGGATAACGTCCTGCTGGGAGACTTACACCTACGGCCGTCGTGCTCTCCTAAAAATACAATTGTGCAACGAGTGGCCTTTGAGGACGAGTTTTATTCCTGGCAGATAGAGCCAGGAACCACAGCTCACAGTTTACCATCCTTGTGAGAAGGCAGCACAGGGAAAGCACGGTAGCACCGCTATATAGCCAGGTCAGTGTTCAATAAAATCCAGCAAGTTGTCCCTCTCTGTGTATTCAGGAATCCCCTTTAAATGGATGTTATTTCTTTGCCAGTGTGCTTCTAAATCAGTCAGCGTTTCTTGAATCTTTATCTTGGTTGCTTGTAGTTTGAGGTGGGCTACGATTTTGTTTGGCTTTCCATTAATCTCTTCTTAAATACTGGTTAAATTTCTCTTGATATCGCCGGAGAGGTCGTCACAAAAGCCGCTCGATTCTTCCCTCTTCGTGGATAGCTCTGGTGCTAGCTTGAAAGCCTTCCATAGCCATGTGTTGGTTGGACACGTCTTCGTCAACTTTCCCATTGGGGGTCTCTGTCGCCTATTTCTTGTGTCTGGTTTGTTTTACAGTTAATTTCCAGTTTTCATCATAGGTTTTGGGGTTTTAAAGAAGTTAATATCACTCTAGCATGGGGGAGGTAGAAGAGGACGTTGGGAGCACTTGTTCAATGGAGGCACCTCTCATGTTACTTTTTGATGTTATTCTGATATTTCCATTTTCCTACTGTGGTCATGGTGGCCTCAAAGCATGTCTCAGAGAGTAATAACACTTGTGAGGGGTTTACTCATAATCCATGCTTACTAGTAGCAGTGATTAGTTTGTAGTGTTTTTTTAATTTATCTATTTATTTATTTTTACATCATTAGTTACAAGAAGATTAAACCTAAGAATGTTAAGTTTAAAGGGCTTGCAGTCTTTTTTTTTTTTCTAGTATATCGCAGCCTGTGAAAATGTTTGGTGGATGGTTGGGGCTGATGAGGCACTTTTTGGAGGCGAATGCCATGATTACAGCAACAACAATGAAGTATCAGGGTTGAGGTTACTTTCTCTTCCAAATTCAGGTTAAGCAAAAACAAAACTGACAGAAATGTCTGATCAACTAACTGGGATTTTACATCCCAATCTTAGAGGTGGGCCATTCTCTTTATGGTGTTGTAATTCTTGGCTTTCCCAGAATGCATTTTTAAGTGTCCTTTGGCAACACACTGAACTCCACATTGCGTAGTAGTGCTTGGTTAGTTTCACTTCAATTTGTATAAAACTGTCTGCTAAATGCATTAAATGTAAATGTATATGGATGGGAAATCAAAGCAACAAAGAAAAAACGCATCAAAGTTCTAACATTTAGCCTACTACCGGCAGTTATTTAAATGTTGATAGTCAGGTCTGCAAACACGGCTTAATGGACACTAAGTAACTTCAAACATATATTTTGTGTGACTGGTGACCTAGCTCTAACCCTGAAACAGCACTGGAACGGCTATGTTTATGCGTTTGTATGATTGTGCCCTCCTCACCTGAAGTCAGACAGGAATCGCTGCAGGTCGTGAGACTTTCCCAGCTTGTCTTTGCGCTGGTCGGCACGTCCCACTAAGCTGCTCCAGGCAGTGTTCAGCTCAGTGCATTTTTCTTGGATGTCATCTACTGCCTCGGGGTGAGATTGGATCAGACGCTCTGCGGTCTCTCCAAGAGAATTAACCTACATTCCACAAAGCAAAAATGAGTATAAGTCACATATACATATATTATATATAACACTCAGATATATAATCGTATACAGTGGGGCAAAAAAGTATTTAGTCAGCCACTGAATGTGTAAGTTCTCCAACTTTGAAAGATGAAAGAGGTCTGTAATTGTCATCAATTATGAAAGACAAAATGAGAAAAACAATCCAGGAAATCACATTGTTGGATTTTTAAAGAATGTATTCTTTAGTATTGTAGACCCGAACCAGGCTGGAAAGAGTGAATCTAAACACACCGCCCGGGCAACAAAGGAGTGGCTCCGTAAAAAGAATGTTAAGGTCCTGGAGCGGTCAGTCTACAGACCTCAACCCCATAGAAGATTTGTGGGGGGGAGTTTAAAGTCTGTGTTGCCCAGCGACAGCTCCAAAACATGATTGTTCCAGAGGAGATCTCCAGGGAAGAATGGGACACAATACCAGCTACAGTGTGCAAACCAGAAGAAATGTTTGACCTCTGTCATTGCCAAAAAAGGTTTTGTAATAAAGTATTGAGTTGAACTTTTACTAATAACCAAACACTTATTTTTCACCATAATTTACAAAACAATTCTTTAAAAATCCAACAAAGTGAATTCCTGGACCGTTTTTTTTTTAACTCATCTTACCGCTTACAGTTGAAGCATATCTCAGTGGCTGATTAAATCTTTTTTTTTTTACCCACTGTACATAAAACCCCACCTTATCCCCCAGCGCAGCCAAGTCCCTCTCAAAGCCTTCATGTTTGCGCTGCAGAGCCTGGACACTGGCCAAGTCATGGCCATAGTTGTCAGTGTTGAGGGCCTGGTTCTTTTCCTCAATCCATTCCTTTGTTTCATCCGCATCCCTGACAGAACACAAGATAATGGTGGTGTTTTCAAATGTTCCATGACTGGAAACCGCTGTACATGAGGGCAACATCAGACCCAGTTTCTGGCTAAACGAATAAGCAACGGCTAGCCTATTCACTGTGGGCACTGTGGTTCCATAAGAGGATAAACGGAACATTTATTAAAATAGTTCTACAAATTAAAAGAATTTTATCTATATTTGATACGAGGAGAAGTTAGAGGTCGGCCACTTCAAAATGCTTTATACCATTCTACAACATTTTGCTTTAGTTTACGTTTCAAATGCATGTATTGTACATCTGTAGAGAGAATTACATACTCAATAATCCTTAATGTGTAAGATACTTTTTCATTAAAGAATTATTGTTCATATTTGATTTCTTTGGATCTTTAAATGCACATGGAGCAGTGTATAATTTTTCTTTAGTTATTTGTAGATGTAAAAGTTGATACTTTTTCTTCTGTTAAATGGTACCTGTGAAATCGCTGCACCTCATGGGCACTGCCTAGCATGTTGCTCCTGTCTTCAGCTAGCTGCTGCAAGGATCTCCAACGATTGTTTAGTTCCTGCGCATAAAAAGAAAACAAAATTCTGCTTTTTCTGCTATTTTTAGGTAATGTGATAGAATGCAATAATTACTAAATAAGGACGTATTTATATTGTATCCAATTGATGAAAACAATTATGAACAAAAATGGATGAGGACAATGGAGATGAGATGCAGAGAACTGGATGCATGGCAAGAGAAAACAATTACAATCTCCACAGAGCTAATAATGACTTCTGTATGTCCATTTTCATCCAAAACACCAATAAAAAAACATAAAAAATGTCACATGCGAACACACAATCAGGCCAGGAAGGGAGAGATCAAAACAGTATGACTAATTTTATGATTAAGAGGAAGGACACAGAGGAGAAAAGCGTGGAATTAAGCAATTACTCTCACCTTGATACTGTTAAAGTTAGCCGTTGTTTGAACACCCAAGCGTACAGTCTAAAATCCCACCATGACAGGAAATAAAAACACAAACAAAGAGTTAAGAGTGTTATGGAAACCATCCGGATTATACAAAGCGTAATTGAAAAAAATGAAACCCACTCAAAGACAAACAAAGGATTTATCCAAGTGATGACTCTGTAAGTACTGCAACCATGGTAACAGTAGAATCATCCTGAATTTAACCATCACATACATCCATTCGACTGGAAGAAGTGAAAGCTTCAAACGGAAGACAGACGTTTGAAGTTTTCTCATTTATCACATAAGATAAATACATGTAACATCATAGTCAAAGTAGTAAAATGTGTTGTTTCCATGATGGCAGTGAGATGACGCACCAAAATCCAACTAAGTCAATGTTAAACTGTCAAACAGAGTTTAAGTTTCAAACCCAGACTGAACATCTGTACAAATATTTCAACTGCTACATTTTCTTTTCAAGTAGAAAAAACAATTACATTGTTTGGGGAATTGTATATAGCTATGTATATTTGAACTTACTTTCCATGGCGACGCAGTCTTGGAATCAGCTTCATCCTATTAACAAAATGGGGGAATGTAAGAAAACGTAATGTGCAGAAAAATGCATTTTCATTCATGATAATTTCTTGAATTCATCCATAAGCAACAAATGTAAGAATGCAAATGAATTATCTCTACCTTGCCAGGAGCAGATCCAAGTAATTCCTGTTGCTACAAATAGAAGAAAACATGTCATTACTGCTTAAGTAGGATAGCATGGATGGGTAACTTTTCCTTTGAAATCAATGATTAATAAAGAGACATACTTGGGTTTGAACCATGGGGGCCTCCTCAGCCATGAGGCCTTCAGACTCCAGTTCTGATGCCACTTTGTTTATGTCCCTCAGACGAGATTCATTGGCCTTCAGGTCCTTGAGAGCAAACATACAAACATAAACTTTTGTTAACCATGAGCATTTATGGCACAAAAGTGCCAGAAAAAAGACTTCAGATGGAATTGGAGAACATGAGTGGATTTGTGCCAGTACTTTGCTATGTAGCTAACTTAAATGTAACAGTCCTGTTATGGAAAAAAAGACTGACATACAAATTATTTACTGCTTCACAGTTTAGCAGAACAAGTTCAGAAAATGTCATATAACACGAACACATTAAAGCAATGCGTTAGCATAGAAAATGAATCAAATCAATAAAAAGAAGAAATTACTTTTTGGAAGTCGTCGAATTTCTTCTGCAAAACCTCGACCTGCTCCAGATCCGAGCCAACCTCCTCATTAGTCAAGGCGTTCTCCTTCTCATTAATCCATTGCTGGAGCTCATTGGCCTCGCGGAACAACATGAACTTCTTGCAGCTCTTCTCTAGCATGTCTTTACGTTTCTCTCCGAGTTCTAACAGTGTACCATACCTTGAAGAAGGATGTGAAAAGAAGCATTACTTAACAGAACAATCTTTTTTTTTTTTTTTTTTATAAAAAACATCAACATACACTGCTGAGCTTGTGCGTGGTATGAAGTAAAAGAAAGACTTGGACTTGTGCCCCAAGTAAAACTACAAGTGGCTATTTGCAGGTACTATGCAGGTCAAAAGTCACGGGATACATACTTTACATTCACAAACAACATGGAAAAGCACATATCTGAACACCCCAGTGCGGGTGAGGGGTTTAGTAGCAGCGACAGCACATTGAACAAGTCAAATAGAATAATGAAATAAAAGAAGAAAAAGAAGAAAAGATGGAGAAAAGACACCTTGATATCTTATATCTAAAACTCATAAATTAGTGAGTGTAATGATTTCTATCACAGACTAAATTAACACATGGTACCACCTAGAATTTCAACCACTGAGATTACCAATTTCCTTATTAATCGAACTGCAAAATATTCACTATTAATAATAAAAGTTTCACTAACAAGCATCTTGAACAAAACATGTGCCAGACAGATCACAGACCAGCTAATGAAATGACATGTATAACATCGAAACAAATGATGGGAAGTGAGTGAAGTCTTAAAAATATAGACTTGTGTTGTGTTCCCCCGATGGTTAATGTTATCATGATAACAAACAGGCAGTAGGGCACTGATTTCTACTCACAGTTCCTCCACCTGTTTCATGCGCACAGACACGCTGCAGGCCTCCTTGGTGACAAGCCTGCACAGTGGCAAGGCAAGGCAAAGGCATAGCAAGACAAGAGGAAGCAGTTAAATACGGCGACAGGACAGCAGAGAAGATAGAAAAATAGCCCAGGAGCAGGGTCATTGTTACAGCACAAGACAGAAAATGTGGGTGTCAATAAAAAGAGGGGGGAAAAAGCAGCGCAAGAGCTCAGTCACTAAATATTAGAAGAAAAAGAATGTGTTGGCAAAACAGTTTTAGTACAAACATGAAGATTTCCTTCTTTTTTTTTTTCTTACTGATTCTCAATCTGATCTTGGCGCATTGCAATGCTGCCATGTTCCTCCAGCAGGTTCTCCCGAGAAGAGGACTGGGTGGGATCCAGTTTCTTCACATAGGCAGCAGGAACAAAGCCTTGGCGATCATTCACCTCCACCTTCCACCAGTCCTATACAGGGGGGACAAATTACAAATATAAACCAGAAGGCATGGAAGTTTATCCCAAAAAAAAAATCTCATTAAAATCTTAATGACATCAATAATTCTCTATTGAAATGACAGACCACCATCTGAGGGCCATACAAAAATATTATCTACAATCATTAGTTGGGTGTATTCAGGCTTCAGTAAAAAAAGAAAACTGTACAATCACTTAAATACATTACATTTCGAAGAGGGCAGCTTTGACAGCTATGGTTATTGTTATGTGGCACATGTTGAAGAAAATTATAAATGTAAGGAGTTTTGCTTGTTAATAAGTCAATTTTTATAAATGTAATGAAAAGCGTAATTAGTGTTTCATAAAATCGACAAAATACTTTGATGATACGATTAATACAAGATATCAGATTAGCCATATAAGCCTGGCCAAAGTAGCTATTTCAGGTTTTCTGGGATATCAGACACATATGAAACAGGAATAAAACTGAGGTGTTCTACTCAGGCACTGAAAAGACATCAATTTTTTAAAAGAAAAACACATTTTTGAAACCAAAAAAAAGTGCAAATTTCTTTACTAAATAAATAAATGAATTAAAATGAAAAGATGCCTTTTTTTTCCTTTTTTAAAATTAATTTCTTACAGATTTATAATTTACCTTGTTGGTGCTATTGAGCAGTGTGAGGATGTCCCCCTTCTTCATGGTGACTTCACGGGGGCTCTTCTCCTGGTAGTCATAGAGAGCTAGTACCAGTTCCTTCCCTGTCTCATCATCAGTTGGTGCAACTTGTTGCTGTTCAGGGGAGAAAAAAAAATCCCCTGATAAGTACCATACATCTTTCACTCTATGGCGACCAATGCCTGAATTTTTTATTGAACTCAAACTAAAACTCAAAAATTCAACAACAAAAAACTTCCTAATCTTGGAACTTTCATCTTCCACTGATATAGAAAATATCAGATGAAGAACATTGCAGCCATGTTTGTCAGAAGTAAATCAGACTCTAATCTATTAGAAGTCTGAGATGTGCCGTGTAAAGAGAGAACAGAAAGAGTTCACTTCTTTGTGTTGCTCTATTTCTTTTCAGGTTAAGGAGCATTTAAGGGTCACTGGACATTCAGGCTTCGACGCTGGGATAGTGTCACACTGCCCTTTGAGAGAAGATACACTCTCGACAGTGGACCCAATGTGGTCTGTCACACCCAAGTGCTGGCACTGACCATCTCCATGTGCCTCACAAGAATGAGATTCACTACGCAAAAAAACAGACCTTTATAATTTGCAAAACAAGCTTAAGGGGGGCTCAAGCAAACTTTCAAGTAGTAATCACTGGTTTTTATCCAATATGATATAACTGAATGTGACATACTTCCACTAAATCTTAACATCATTCATTCAAATGAATGTCAAGAATAGTGTCAATCGCCTTAGGAGAGGTTTGTTAAGAATACTCATTTTAGAAATGGCAAGTCTTATTTTAGCCAAAATAGGTCATTTGCCTTAACGTTTGCAAGATGGATCCAGAAGATTCTTTTCATAGGTCTTGTTTTTTCTATTTGTGTACCAAATTGAATACATTCTATTAACAGATTTTTTTGGCTGCCTTAACAGTTAGTGATAAAGAGCCTTTTTTATTAGAGCTTTGTCTTTGCTTTTAGTATTTTCACATGATAAATTCATCATGTAACTTAAATATGCATTCAACATTACTTCAGCTTACCCTGCATGACTGGGCCTGCTCCTTCAGGGACTGTATGCTGCTGCCATAAGCACTCAAGTCAGACATTAAAGCTTCATGCTTCTTCAGCAGAGCCTGAAAAAGACACCAGAAGATACCGAGTGTTGCTTTTACATCTTGTATGAACATTCTACAACAAGAATTTGTCAAGATCCATTTTATTTTCTTGTACCTCAGCTGAGTCCTCGTCTTTTCCATAGTCTATGCTACCAACGATTGGCTCCTTTTCCCTCATCCAAGACTCTGCCTCATTTGCATCAGCAAAATACTGCTGGGCCTGCAAAGAGTCTTCCAGATCCTGTCTTCTTTGAGCAGCCTTAGCTTTCAACGTCTCCCAGCGTCCATGTAGCTCAGCCAGCTTAGCTTTCACATCCTCACCTGCGAAGTGACCTGAGCAGACCACACAAAAATCCTCAAGAGTTTGCATTTTCTATCAATATCTTCATTGTTGAAGACTACAACTGAATACATACCTTCTTCGACCATTCCATCTCCTTTCTGGGTGACGGCCTTAATGCGGGGCTCATGACCTGCAATCTCACCCTGTAAAGCCTGATGTTTCTTGAGCAAGTTCTGAACACCAATCAGATCTTTGCCTGAGGAGAAACAATTTAAAAAAATCATAAATCATCGTATTCAATCCAAGAGGTTGGTTTTCAGCAAATTAATCTGAGAGCATTGCCTGACAGTCATTTTGAGTTCCATTTATTAATCCTTACCTCTGTTGGTTGAAGCAGCAATAGGCTCTTTTTCACGAATCCAAGTTTCCTCATCTTCCACATCTCTGAAAAGCTGCTGAAGCCTGAGTGAGTCGGACAGTTTCTGCTTGCGTGCTGCCATGGGCCCACGCAGACCTTCATAGCGAACCACCAAAGCCTCCTGTTTCTTACGGATGTTGTCGGCATCAAAGTGCCCGGCTTCCTGGAACTGGCGTGCCTGAATTGTTATGCCATCGATCCGGTCCTAAGCGAAAAAATAACGGAAATGCATAAATGTAGGTGTATGTATATATATATATAAATACACATATACATAGAGGGGGCCATGTTTTTGTTTGTACTTGTATGGGGTACCTGGTGAGCAGCCACATCAGCTTCCAGCAGGGCATGTTTCTTCTGCAGGTTCTGGACACCAGTCAGATCTTTTCCATAGTCATCTGAAGCCAAGTGGCCCTCAACTTCATACAGCCAAAGCTCAATGTCCTCCACATTCCTGTTGAATTGTTGCTGCTGGTTGGCCTCGCGGAGTTTAATGCCTAGAGTTAAGATATGACAGCTCAAAAACATATCTTAAAACTAAGCCACAGTAAAAAGTTGTTGACTGTTGTATGAAGGGCTGAATAAACTCTTTGCAAGTTAGCATTTTTGACACATCCCCACTTATACAAACAGCATTTTACCAATAGCTTGTATTTATTATTTTTACTATGCAATATAAGAATATCAAGCCGTTGCAATTTCTATGCGAAGTTCATATTTTGAAGTCTAGACCAGAGTGTTACATACATAAAAAGAAGAAAAGCTTTAAAACCTCCTTGCGATACCTTTGAGCTCAGTGGCTTCCAGCAGTTTCTTCCATTGGGAGCTGACCTCCTCCATGCGGCCAGCCATCTCAGCGGATGCGTAATGTTTGCCATCCAGCAGCTCTTGGCCCGATTTCTGAAGCGCATCGATGCGGCTCTGGTTGGCTGACAGCTCAGCCTCAAAGGCTTGATGCTTCTGCACCTTACCTTGCAGATTGGATGGGTCCTGTTACCAAGACAACAAAGACACAGAAGTTTGAGGATTGAGCAAACAAAAAAAAATAGAATCAAGAAATATTTTGGAAAGTGACACATCAAACTGTCGGGGGGAGTGACCTTGTAAGATTCATCAGTGGCAGTCTTCATTTTCTCGTTGATCCAACTCTTGAGCTCATCAGAGTCCCTGAAGAACTGCTGCAGGTGGAATGAGTCCTCCAAAGCGGTGCGACGAGATTGAGCACGTTCATGCAGAGCGTTGCGGCGGCTGAGTAGCTATGAAGGAAAAACACAAAGATGGATGTTGATTATTTTTCAAATTCGTTTGACCAAAGCTGCAGTTGATATTTATCAAAAAGAAAGATGACAGAAACAAAATTCCATCTGCTTTATCAATTGATGGAAAGACTGTTTAATTTGAAAAAAATCAATTCAAAAGTACGAAATTTTTTAATGTTTTCAGTAAGTAAGGTGACAGATAGGTGTATAAGTATAAGAACTACTGTAATTTCTGGTCTATAAACCCAGACTAGCGCATATTTAATTATAAGTTTAAAAAAATAATTAAAAAAAAAAATTTTTTAGATGGGATGATATAATCTTTTCATTTCAGGAAGGGATTGTGAGTGCCGATGATCGAAAGATAACAGGAGGATCAACACTCATTCTAGGATACAGGATATTAGGAGGGTTAACCTTGCACAAATGCAAAAATATCAAGCATGTTTCCTAGTTTTCTTTGGTTCACGTGCTCAGAAAATAATGTTGCACGTACATAAAGCTTATTTTTCCATTTGTTAAACTATAATTAGTTTACTGATGTCACATACTAACTATTATATCGTTACTAGCTATTTCGCTAACATCAATTTCACCCTCCCAGTGACACCTAAACGGTTTAACATTAATCAGCGTGGTTCTGGCAGTTCATGTAAATCAGGGATGATTTGTATAAAAGTTCAGATGTCTACAAATATGCAAAAAATCCTCCACTGCAGAAGCATACTGGACTAAATCAACAACTACAGTTCCAGACATCTAATGGTAGTTAAAATCGGAAATTAATAGCAGTACTTACAGCATCTCTGCGGGTAGCCACATCCTCTTTGGCATAGTGGTTGTTCTGAATAAGTTTGGTAGCAAATTCATCCAGAGCCTGGAGATGTACAGGATATTATAGATTAATTCCAATGCAAAAAAGTGTGCAGAAATCTTGCAAGCAAGAACCTATATTGGTAAAAAGAAAAATGAAGTAAGTGGTCAAAATGAAGTTACTTACAGTAATCTTCTCCTCTTGTGCACTTAGGGACTTTTCAAAGTCTTCGTGTTTTTTCAGCAACGCCTCTACGCTGTCCAGGGAGTCGCCGAGGTCTTCGTTTAGCAAGAAAGCCTAAACAATCGAATACATTATTGACAAATTACATATCACGTCGCCAAGCTGGTCCAAGCTATCGATCCCTCGGAAAAGTGTTAAATAATTGCTCTTTTTTTCCACGTTACCTCTTGCTTGCTCATCCAGTTATCAACTTGCTCAGTATCCCTGTAGAAAAGCTGCAAGTCCATGCACTGCTCATACTGTTGCCTGCGCACCTCCCACAAATCAAGCAGGGACTCCTTTTCTTCAGCAAGGCTCCCCAGCTGTACATATAAAAGCATTCATGTTGAAGTATACATATGTATAAATAATATACATGTATAAATGAAAGTGTCCCCACCTTTTCCTTGACCTCCTCAGAAGCATAGTGTCCGGTGCTGAGCAAGGCTTTGCCAGCTTCATCGGTGGCTCTAAAACTGTCTTCGTGGGCATCAATTTCACCCTAATAAAGATTTAATTGTGTTTTGTATTCAGATTGGGTTAGAATTTCCAATGATCATCAAAATGAAAGACTTGATAGGGGAAAGACTTTTACTTTATGCTCCTGGTGGCGGTCCAAGAGAGCCTCGGCTCCAGCGACATCATTAGCCAGCTCATCAGCATTGATCAGAGCCTTCATCTCTGTGACCCAGCTTGTAAGATCCCTGAAGTCAGCCGTAAAACGTTGTAGCCTGAAAGATGGCAACAAAAGAAAGAAGATTTATGTTAGCTTTAATGTCTAACCTAGGCAATGGGTGCTACTAAAGCAATGGCTGTAGTAGCAATTTATTGAAATTCAAGGTACTATTTTTAAGTTCAATCATCTATGTGCTGATTAATTTTTGTCTGATAGCTTGTTGCTTTAAATAACACGTTCCTATAGGTCCCTAAATTGTTGAAAAATGTGAATAAATAAAATAATAAATTTAGTTCGCAAAATCAAAGCAGCCTGGCAGTTTACTGGTATGAGTCGATCAGGCGAGCGCGGCGTTCGGCAGCCAGAGTTCGGATCTGCTCCCAATTGGTGACGAGCTCATCCTTCTTCAGATGAATCTGGGTGGCATTTTGGGGGTGCGTCTGCTTCAGGTGCTCTGCATCACCACCGAGTGTATTAACCTTATGAATGTAAGAAGTGAGAAAATGGGATCAGTGAAGTTGGGGATTGTTCTTCGTAAACTACGAGGTTACAGTGAGCACCACATAACTCACCTTGTCCTCCAGAGCAGCCAGGTCTCTCTCCAGACCCTCGTGTTTACGTAGCAGAGCCTGCACGCTGGCCAGGTCACGGCCAAAGTCGTCAGATGCCATCAACTGCTCCTTCTCCTTGATCCAACTGATGGTCTCATCGACATCCCTAATGTTAGAGCCGACAAAGAACACACGTTACCACATGGCGACAACATAAAAAAGTGTACTTTTTCTAATCCATTGAAAGATGCATTGGCCCTTTTTCTTCACAACTTAATTGCCTGTACAGGCACTGTGTATGAGTAGTTAAAAGCAAACTCTTATGATTCAACTGATGCAAAGCATGGCACAATCTCATCTCAACAGCAAGTACAATCAATGCCTACAACTTCCTACATGAAAATATCAATAAACTTACGAATAGCTAACTGCAGTATGGGTTTCAATGTAGTGAATGCCCCTCCTAAAGCAATGTGCTAGTCTTTAACATCATCGTATAAAGCAACACAGCTAAAGTGATACTTTTCTGAGTCCTGCGAGCACTTATGCATAACATACAAGTAGAGATAAACCAGACTTTTTAAGGTTAAATTGCATGAAAACCAACTCCAACCCTAAATTCATACTGCAAAAGAGTGATGCCTTTGTTGAGATGGTGACAGTGACATTTCTGTGAAATGTGGACTTTTCAAGAAAATTTTGAGAGCTTACTTTTGCTTCTGATCACTGCCACCTTAAAAGGCCAGAGGGGTTTAATATCTGCATGGTATTGAGGGATGTGTTGTCGTTGCATTACCACCTAGTAAGGTCTCCCGATTCAAATTGGTCTCAGGTCAGAATAAAGGTAATTTAAAAGGCCTAAATGGCAACATAGCAGGTTCTGACTGTTTCTGTTTATGCGCCAAACGACAGCTCAGACTATCCAGCATTCCTGGTTTTGGTGGAGGTTCATATAGCAGGTATTTGCAACATTAATAATTGCAGAAAATTTCTAATCAATGTTTGTCGTCATTGTTCGGCGGGGTTCTTGTAAATGAGTCGCGTCTATGACTCATCGAGCCAAGTTATGCCTTGCCCAATCAGTGGCCGGCAGTCTGCCGTCAGCCCAGCTCATGCCGAGACTGGAATTCCAACCATGTGGGTGCTAAAATTGTAACTGTTGAGAGCCAGCTGTTAAGTGTAGGGTCAAGCCGAGCCACAATGGGTAGGTATTAGCGGAAAACCCAGATAAAAGAGGTATTTTGGACTTAAGTCCAAATGCATAGTAAGGGTGAACAGTTTTGTTTGGCAGGGGACACTCTCCACAAGCTTTTTGACTTGCACTGAAAGAAGACATCTTCTTTGATACTGGGAAAGCAGGGGACATTAAATCTGAATGGAACACGCTGATGTCGCCTCAAAGACCTGTGCCCAGGTGGTTTTTGTGCTTAGCCTGGTTCTACCTGGCGGGACAACTAAGTGCCAAAAAGACATGCAGAATCAGTGGTTGCTTTGGGTCACTTTTCTCCTTTTTGCAGATGATGTGGTTCAGTTAACTTCTTTAAGTCAAGAAGCGTGTGAGTGTTTTACATCGGAGTGTGAAGTGGCCAAAAAGACTAATTCAGGGCATTGTTCTCGACTGGAAAATGGTGGAATGCTCTCTTAGGAGTAAGGGATTGCCCGAAAAAAACTGTCTATGCTGGTTATCAATACGTGGCTGAGGTGGTTCATGGATCTGGTGAGGATCCCTCCTGGTCACCTCCCTTTGGAACTTTTCCAGGCATATCCAACAGGGAGGGGGAGGATATGTCATATTTCAATACAGACTAATAATGGCCATTTAATCCATGATTCCCTACAACTTTCAATAAAGTTATCTAAACCATTCAAGGAAAATTCGAGCAGAATTGGAAGTGTTTACCACATTGATAAATCACTAACAGATAAATCTACACCCAAAATAGCTGTCTATGCATTTTCTGGTTTTGTCTACCTGTTAAAACGCTGGACTTCGGCAGCTCCAAACAGCTTGGTCTGCCTTTGTTGGGCAAGACCTTTAAGACGCTCCCAGGCAGCGTTGACCTCTTCCTGCTTGCGAGTTATGAGCTCAGCCTCAGGATGTGCTTCCTGGATAAGCTTGGACGCCAACTGGTTCACTTCATTCACACGCTCCTCGTGGGCTGCCAAATCTGTCTGGAACTCCTCAAATTTCTTCTGCAGAAGTTCCACATGCTCCAAGTCCTGGCCCAGCTCCTCAGAGGTGGCCATGGCCTCCTATAATAGAGGGGAACAAAGCAACTTTGAGTGCTTTATAGAGCAAATTACACACATCATGTCTGTTGCTGTTAAGAAAAGGCACATTATACAATAACTGTGTGGCTGTTACAGTTTGACAAATCCTGCTTCAATGCCCAAGAATAAAACATTCTTATTAATCCATTTGTTTTATTGGGTTTTGTCTTTTACATGGGAACAAAACTCAGCAAACTAAGCAAATAAATGGCAAAATAACTTTCCCAAACTTATTTGTTTATCAATTTAGACCAAGAAATTGATAATATTACAATAAATCAAAGGAAAAAATATTCTTCCCTCTTGTTGGACTGACCAGTGTATACAACTAAACTTTAAAGTTCGTTATATAACCATGCTAAAAAAACAGAACAAAAAGCAGCTGCTTCAACATTATCCTTGCATTATTTTAAAAGCTCAGAATATATATTGATCCTTCTTTAAAATAATAAACAACTTAAGAAGTCCAACCATTCAGACATTACAGGTCCATTAAGTCTTGAGATGTTAATGATCAATTTCGTAGGAACAATCACAGGCTCCCAGATACCATTAAGAAAAGTGCTGTTTCCTCCTTTAGTTTCATGAATGAAGTTGTCATGACATTATTTGACATTATCAGTAGCTAGCAAAAATTATGAAGCTCTCAGATCCATTTACAACTGAATAATTGAATCATTTCAGTCACAGCTGAATAATTGAGCAAAGTCGACGCCGTTTAATGTCAGTTAGACATGTTTGCGCCCATTTTGCTACCGTCAAAAGAGGTGCTAATGTATTTTTCGTGTAGCATATAAAAACGCCACAATAAAAAAAAATATCCTCTACTGTCAACTCAAATAACCGACCTTGTCACTGATCCAGTCCATGGCATCTTCACACTCTCGCAGGTACTGGACGAGTTTCTGGGCCTGCATCAGACGCATGCCCTTCTCCTTGGTCTTCTGCAGCAACAGGTCCCACAGGCGGTGCAGCTCCTCGAGACGATTCTAGGGAGAAAAGTGAGCAGAGACTTAAAAAAAAAACTATATAAACTAAAGAAGTGGGGGAAAAATGTATCTTAACACGTGTTAACAAAAAAGTAGTAATCGGAACAATAACAAACGCATTTTACAACCCTAAATAAAAAAGGTTTTCCTCATGAGCATGTTTCCTGATACGAGAGTAAAGATATAAAATAAAGCACGCAGGAGTCACACAATAATTGAACACACACACGAATATACTCAGCCATATTGAAAGCTGTAACTATGGGTCTCTTTTGGGTCCGGTAAGGCGTGTAGGACTGGATTAAATTGCAGGGATTAATAGTGAACAGGAAATGTATAAATAGGAGCCCCACAATTCACAAATGTATACATATATGCACACACACACACACACACACATAACTGCAACAGAAGACTGTCTTCACAATAAAACTTACACGAACTGTCTCTGAGGCGAAGTGGCCTTCAGTAATCATCTGGTTTCCAGTGTCATCCAGTTTGATAATGGCCTTGGCATTAGCCTGAACTTCTGCTTCAAAGGCCAGATGTTTCTGCAGTTTACCCTGTGGAAAGAAAGAGTCCAAATAATAAGCTCGGCACTTTGAACATGAATTCTAGTGCTATATTCATGGCAAAGATGACAACTTGTGTTGTACAACAAAGGCTTCTTTGAGACATGGACGCTCAGGGGAAAGAGTGCTTTGGTACTAATGGTTCTGGAATCACATGTCTAGGTGTACACTGTTCTCCACTGTGTCTCTAATGTATACATTAGTGTTTGAATATGTCTGTTGAGGAAACAGTACTGCATAGCCTGTAACACTGAACTAAATGTAATGGATGTGAAAGGTTAAAAAGCTTTGGGTGGTCGACAAGATGAAGGCTTTTAAGCACGGCCCATTTACAATTAATGTGAAGCGTCCCATTGATCTTGTAGCAAATGAGCACGCCATGTCCTGTTTTTCTGATAACCTGGACCTTTTAGACCTCACCAACGCGTCTATGATCGCTTTCAAAATGGTTTCAAATTACACGAGACAGGTGATAAAATTGTAATAACGTCAGCACACAGTGTGTTCAAAGCTTTTTCTGCTGCGCTATGGTTAAAAAAACTTTTAAGTATTAAGGCTGTAGCGTGGTTCTTCCTGTATCTTTCATGGACGCGTCTTGAGTCAGAGAAGTGGTGCAGAAACTAAAGAGCGTACCTGAAGGTTGGAGGGGTCTTTGTAGTTCTCGTCAGAGGCGATCTGCAGCTTTTCCTGAATCCATTTCTCCAACTCGTCGGCATCGCGACGGAAGAACTGAAAGCGGTAGGAATCCTCCAACTTCTGCCGACGCATAATCGACAAATCCTTGAAACGTCGATAGCGGTCCAGGACCTGCTGCCGACGTTCCTGGATGTCCTCCGCGGTCTCAAGCACTTTCGCTCCTGCAGTGTCCATTTTCTGAAACGACAAATCAGCTCTTAAATTCTATTCATATGTAGAAAGGAACATAAATACACACGCACGTATATTTATTCTTTTTTTTTTGAGCAAATTACTTCTGTTTTACACAATAATATTGGTTGATTAATTATTTTTTATGGTTTGATGTGGTTGGATAATATTGACCTAATCATACAACATTGGTGATATCTTTACATTCTGATATGTAAACTTGACTTTATTCCTCACATGACAATTATTTTTTTATTATTTACATGTACATCTGAAAACGTTTTTTTTATATTTACACAAAGAGTATAAATATTGCAGTATTTATTTTTTTATTAAACAAAATTAAATTATAATATAAACATAGCTTGAATGAGAAAGGTGGGATTTAAAGAAGAGTGTTCGTACAAATGCTATCTCCTCTCTTTCTGTCACTGAGTAAGGGGCCAGCAGCTGAAATACTAAAAATTCCAAATGGGGGCAGGGGCGGAAATTCCACTTCCATGGGAACATCAACCCAGCCTCACGAAACAATGTGACTGCTGCAGTCAGCCTCTCTGGAACATTTCACTCCATGGCCCCACTGGAACCAAACTGAAAAATGATTGGACAATCTTGCCGCACCACGACAAACTTTCATCTTAATTTGGTATCCACAGCATATTATATTCATCAAACTGATCAAACAAATGGAGCATGGGTAGCTCATTCTATTCTTTCAAATCATTAAAATCTTCCTGTAATCATTTTTAAATGGCATGCTTCAAGGATGAATTTGCACTACACTACAGTAGTCCAGAGGTTGCAATAGTTTTCCAGATAAAATAATATCCCAGTGACCACATACAAATGACCAACCCAAACAGAATGGTATCATCAAAAACCTGAGTAAATACTAGTATAAACTTATCCAGCCAAATGCAACATTATACCTAAATATAATGTTGAAGCACTTAAAGACATCAAAACTGTTGTGGACTCCACTCATTAAATGTCTGTTTTAGAGACAAACTTGGCAGGTGACTTTAAAAACCGACAAAGAAATATTAGCCTATAATGGTATTAGAAGAGAAAGAAAGATGTTTAACTGACATGACTCAATATAAATAAGTTTTTGAGGACTTACCAGCTCTGAGGGTACAGATGACAAATATATGTATGTGTTGGGGCATAAATTCTGATGCCAACCAAAATAATTTACTTAAATTGGAATAGCTTCACAAATAAGTCTTAATTGCATACGAGTAGGCTGCAGACAGCCGTGAGTAACCCACTGCACTGTAACAGCTGATAAGGCCTTATTCCATTCTGCTTTCTACAGATAAAAGCTTTCCCTCTTCTCAAAGTATTGCCTCTGGGAGGGGGAGAAGATGGGGGGGTTCCGCTCTCTTTAGTAAACACCCAAAGTCAAGGTTCTCTGCTGGTAAAACAGTCAGCTGCTAATACGTGTCATGCTCAGGACAAAGGACTGCACACAATGGGAGATATTTGGGACAAGGCAAGGCCATCAGGAGCCCGCTAGCCCTCAAATTAAGAAGGATGAAGAATAAAATCATCACCACGCTTTCATCTTGTAAAATAAACAATGTAAAAAGCGCAGTGAAACTTTCATTTACAACATTGGATAGATTTACTGTCCACCTTAAAATAATTGACTGAAATCTTTGAGGCAACTACAGACATCTACCTATGAATAAACAAGTGAGGGTTAGGGAAAACATGTTCAAGTGAGAAACTTCAATTTTAATATACAACAAATCTACTTTAACAAACAAAAAAAAGCAAGCATCGACTACATCAGTTTTTGCAAACTTGACAGGATATCTTTGTATTTGACGTCATGGTGTTAATGAACTAATGGAAAAAATTAATATTTATCGATGAAACAACTGAACTTAAGAAACATGCTATGAAAAAAGCCTATTTCTGATTACTTTTACCCAAATAAGGTTGTGAAAAACATGGCTACTGTTAGAATAACAGCACACTTTTGGATTAAGGGAGAGATTCCACAAATGATGCTTTGCCATTAGTATCTCCCTCTTCAGCCCCATTCATCTCCAAATCATCTCACTACAACTCGGTTTAGATGGTTATCCATTAGAAAAGGGAGATCCTATCAGAAAGACCCATGATATTTCTTTGCGACATGCATGGAAGGAAAGACACTGCGCCATCAATACACCGGCTGAACTAAGGTATGGGTTCATGTATTACGTAAAACTTAAATGATCGCACAAATAAAGAAATCAAACATTTGTTTTGATTTCCTTGTTTTTTAAGATACGCAGGGATCCTGTGAAGAAGTCACTTCTGATGACTCATCAAGTCATGTGATGCCCTGGCCAATCAGTGAGCCAGGAGTCTGTCATTGGTCGGACTCAGCCTGCATGGAACCCCAGCCAAGTAGGTGCTAAACTTTAAACTATTACGAGACGCCAGCCTCTAATCAAAAAGCAGAATATATGACTAGAGTTGAGACAAGCCAGGCTGCGTAGGTCCTCGTTCAAAAAATGTAAAAGTAACCCTAAGCTCCCTGTTTTAAGGGACAAAGATGCCTTATAGCCTTTGAATGGCTGTAAGCATAACAATGGAATGAAATAAGCATTATAAGGTGACTTATACATTCGGATCGTGAGCTATTATTTACAAAATGATCAGTTGAAATGCTTCCTAAGGTAAGATCACACTTCATGTTAATTTCAAGAATGTCCCACTGCAGACAAGCAGAAGACATTTAGCTAAAGATCAACTGGTCTCTACTAACCCAATCTGACTGTTACAACAAGTCACCATTACTGCTTGTAAAACACTGAGGAACAATAGAGGAAGTTCTAAAAAAAAATCAAATAAACAGATAATTTTCACCTGTATCTTCCAAGTTTCGTGTATCAGGATCAGGTCAAGGTGAACAGCAAATTCTCAAAATGAAAATAACGATCCTCACAGTCCATCTGAGACTGAACGTCTACGCTGTTGCACTGGCAGGCGCATTGCATCCGCGATGACTATGCTCTGCAGAAGAGCAAGGTAAGATGTGAAATAGCCCATTTGGTTTCTGCCCTGTACTTTATACCCCTCCCTGTAGTACTCTTCCAGCCAGTTACTCAGCAAAACCGTACCACCGACAGCCTCGAACGTTCTTCCCTGCAGAAACTGACCGAGCATTACACAAAAATATGCAGTCATAACATAAACCCGAGGTTAACTTGCCTTTAGGTTTAGTTATAAAGCCATGAGCAGAGAGAAATTTGAGCAAGCAGTTATCTAAAAGCCATTTTTCCATTTCATATGTACAACACACCTAATTTCTAAATGTAGGTCACTCATACATATATATGAGATAAATGTAGACTTTGCACATTGTGGCAAGTGACATACAAAGTGGGTCTGAATTTCCTTTATGTCTTTTTAAATAACTTTTATTGTGGTTTTAGTAATAATTGTCAAGATGACCACATTTCTGACAAATACCAGATCCAGATCATCTGACCTGCAAATGGGATATATAAAAAGTTTGATAACTTGTGACATAGTTCTCTTAATGTGGATTTTAAAATGGGATTTATGACTTTATTGCATACTGTTGTAAGAGACTGCTGGTGAGTGAGGAACTTGGCACAACACTGATAAAGCCCACGGGTTGGCCAGCCAACTGCAGATATGAGACAGCAGTTTCACATTGTCACCTTCTTTCATTCGAAAAAATGCAAACCATGACAATACCAATTCTTATATCAAACAGAGCACTGCAGTCCGGTGTTAACACCTTTCTCCAAACGACATTAAACGCAACATTTCGCAGTTGAGAGATGAGGCCATCGGCTTTTTTTCTCAACCTGGGCGGCTCCCACTAGCTAAAATAGCCAACCTTCGAAGCCTCGCTATCATTTGCTGTGCCTTTCCCACTGTGGGAAGAATGTCCATTCAAACCTCCCACGCGTTAGGTATTCAACCCTGCTTGTCAAATTGTGGTCTATAATGCGCAACTTAAATGCCCAGTTTTACACGTACATCTAAAAACAAAGACTAGCCCCAGTGCTGCATCATACTGTTGCATACCGAGGAAAATAAATTAATAATGTTGACCTGAGCTTATCGACTTCGCATATCCGAGTCGACCATTTTGTGTGATATGCAAGTTATCCATCATGCTAAAATGTAATTTGGTAACAAAACTGGTACTGACAGAGCAATATTTTGTTACCAACACTGAGAAAAAAACCCGACGGGTTTCGACACGAGCTTTGTATTAAAACGACCCGATGGAAATACCATTTAACAAACCACCCATTAGCTGTTGAGCTAGCTAAACGCCGCAAAAACACACTGAAAATAATGGCAAAACAAAACCAAAAAAGATGCAAAAAGCCAATATGCGTTACTTTCTTAGCTTGTTAAAAAGCCACTGACAAAAATTTAAAAGCATTTATCATACCTCGGATTTTTTTTCGAAACAGAGTAGCTGCTGCTCTGGCGAGTCGACGATATAGGCTGGGATGGCTGTTCTGCGAGGGTTGTTTTTTTTTTTCCTGACCATGACGTAATTTTCTGCAGACAGACGGAAATGCACGGTAAATACCGAAAGGGACCGAAGTCTTCTCTGGGGTGTGCCACGATTAGCCTCTTGAATAAAATATGTTTTAAGTTCTCCAGTAAAAAAAAAAGTTGATCAAATTACAGGATTTTGTGGAGAAAGCTTGTGAAATGGCTTCGAGACTGCGACGTTTAATATGTTAATGTTTGAGTTTATGTCAGACTATTAACACATTTTCCTGTATATTTTCCTGCAGATTTCTTTGCCATTTTGTCAAACCATACTGTGGTATTTTGTTTTCAGTTGTCATGACATATATTTTGAGGCACCAAATTTATCAGGGCCTGTTCTCAAACATCAGCTCTGTAACAACAGGCCCAGCCTCTGTTTTGTTTGTCATTGTGAGCTGATCCTCTGCCATTTTTTTCAGTACCACCTCTGCATCAGCACAATTATGCCAGCCATCGTATTAAGATCATCTTATGTAGCAACATATAGCCACCTCTACTGCACTCAGTCCTCAGGATCCTACTGTTGGTCAGGCTACCTGGTTTTTCACCTCACAACCCAGCCATTTTTTAGACTAATCAGTTATTCTCTGACATCGGCATGTGCATAAAGGGCTGTCAGTGTCTGGCTGTTTATCACTTTTAGATCTTAGTGTATCTCCACTTCCCAAAAGTTGGCTAACTGTCATATCCGGCAATGCAACATGCTGAAGGCATTAGAGACAAGGCAGAGCTTTGTGCTTGGTCCTGCTGAGGGTATTGTTCATAATCCCTCACTCCACCGTATCTATACCATGCAAATGACAGCTGCTGATGAAAACTCCAACAGGTTATCAGGTTCTACAGGGGATGTAGGAACACACAACGCACACACACAGAGTTTAGCTGGAAAATACTTCACTCTGAGACATGAGGTGTCCATACAGGATGGGTTGGTAATAAGACGGAGCAGAATAGGGATTCCAGAGACGATGAGGACAAACATTATTAGGAGGATACACGATGATCATCAAGGGCTGAATAAGTGGTGAATGAGAGTAGGTTTGGTTTAACAGATTTACTTGCCATGTGGGGAACATGGCATGGACTGGTGGACTTTTGGAGATATACTGGCAGTGGAAAGTCAATATAAGCTCCGGTGGTGCACAGGGAAGTTCGGAGCACCTCTATGAAATAAACTGAAAAACATATAGTGCACAATATCTCCTCTCAGTATGTGTAACCTCAAACCTTGTCACTGCCTTCGGCATCACTTCTTTTGCCAACCCTCCACTATAGGCAGCTCCTTTTGTCTCTAACAACAGAAGAAGTGTAAGCTGAACTTAAAATAATTTAGGAAACACTGCAGGCCCAGATGGACTTTATCCAAGGCTTCTGAAAGACTTCAGGACAAGTCCTCTTCAAAGGATTTTCAATATGAGCAATCACATTTTGAAGTTCCCAGAGAATACATGTATTGTGAGATAGTAATAAATGACTAGAATAAAATAGAATTGAATACATTTTTGTGAGCACTCCAAATTACCCCTAAGAGTGAATGTGAATAGGTGTGGTTGTTTGTCTCTTTGTGGACCTGTCCAGGATGTACCCCAACTCCAGCCCCCACACAACCCCATTGTGAATAAGTGGTATAGAAAATAGATGGATAGACTCTTTTATGAGGATGAAAAAAGGCCTGCTCCTATTGAAGAGTTCTTACCTTCAACCAATGCACAAATTAAGCCAACCAGTTGAGTTGGATGAATGCATATACACCCTGAGCGTCTTGACCCCTACAATTTGCCTGTCTGGAACAAACAAAGGTGGTAGATACGACTGTATCTAATAGGCACATGTTTATCTGGATGTGCCTGGATGTGAAAATCAAGTTCTATTTCGCATAGGCTTCGCCCTTTAAGGATTTTGCCAATGGGTTTTTCCCTTCATGTGCGTGCACAGCACTGGGAAATTTAGTCAGCATCCACCAGTTGGGTGGCTCCTACCTTGGTCTTGAGTATAAATTGGGCCGAGACTGAACGATCTTCTTCCAAGTTTCTTTAGCCATCGATAGAACTGAACATGTCTTCCTGTCTTTGCCCGGGATGCCAGACCGGCTACATCATGGTGGACGACTTTTACCACAAGTGCAAAGGTTGCCTCCGGCCATAGCAATCCGTGGGACCGGAACTGCCCAGCCTGGATATGTATCCCTGGACCGCCACATGGCTTCTAGGGGGTACCGACAACGCCCCTCCCGGCGATAGTTGCGTTCGTCTGTGGACTGCTGGGTATCGTCCGCAAGGCGGCTGTCCTGAAGAATTTAACAGTTCCCCCAGCACAGGCCCCGTGCCCACCACATGACATGGCAAGGCAGATTCCCCGCCATCGAGATCCAGTTTGGCCCCGTTTCTTAGCCATCACGGCCTACCAATCCGGGGCGGCGGCTGAGCCCGGGAAAGGCCAACAACATACCCTTACCGATCCCAACCTTACTGACCATGCTAAGGGCATGGACAACGCTGCCTCAACTTGTGCGGCGCCATCACAGTGGCCACTGGGTGCATTTCGCGTAGCAACACCTCGTTCACCGCAACATCTGGTTCCATCTGTCACCCTCTTACTTAAGGATAGAGGTTAAGGATAGAGGTGCCGGAGGGAAGGGCCCATCAGCCCGGATGGACTGTTCGGTCCACACTTTGTCACCCTTGGAGCACCTTCAGACGACATCAGAGGAGTCGGAAAAATGACAAACAACCATATACATGTATACTGTATATAAGTTTAATGTATAAACTGGTTTTAACCCTATAATGCCACATGTATCATATTTGATACAAACGGTTTCTGAAATGTTTTGCATCTGACACCTTTTGCATAATTTAATGGTAAAAACTTTGCTCAAAATCCTATTGTACACAATCAGATATACCTGATATACCTGATATACCTAAATCATTCATATAAAAAATGTATTTCTGTTTTTTCTTTTGACATATTTTGTTAAGTTGTTAAATTCTGAAAAAAAAACAAAAAAATGAAAAATTTGAAAATTAAACTGTCATTGTGCCTTGTGAGGATGGTCTTTAATAAATGTGAGTTAAAAGAACATAGAACAACTACCATGTTGTTCAGGGGCTCCCACTTCTAGTAAAGACACGAGTCAGTCATTTTATGATACCAGATATTCCTTTATTGACTCCATCTGGTAATACACAGAAAAACATATCAGGATACTGCAAACATGTATTTTCAGTTTTAGGATTGGAACGTTAGGACACACTGGTCTTTGGCACTTCTAAATATAACATGCTCCCTCAACATATAGTTTGTTTACAACTGAAAATCTTTTTTTTTTTTTTTTTAATTGGAAATGTTGTCACTGACCCCTAACCCTAACAATATTTAAGTCACATGTTGCTATAAAGGAGGGTTGCTCCCATTTGTTTTTTTTTAATCTCTTTTTTTAACTTTTGAAAAGATTTTTCAAAGCAGAAAAAAGTAGAAATGGCATTGCATTTGTTGGGCAGACAACAGGATTGCTCAGATGGCAGTTACAAGTGATTTGTTCCCAAGAGACAGAGATCTGCATCATTTAATTGTTCCATTGTCCAATACACAGAAAAGCAATCTTTTCATTTCTACAACGAAGAACTTTCTTCCGGTGGTCTTCATAGAAGAAGGTGGAAAGATTAAAGAAACATTTAAGATGGTCCCCCTTTGGGTTAAATAATTCACACATACGTGTGTGTGTATGTGTGTATATGCATATATATATATATATAATGCATATTATGATTTGAAGAATCATGCGGAAATGGAAAAAAATTAAACAATGTCCACATATGCAGTGATACACTTTCTTTGTATTCTTAACCACTTTATGTGTATAAATAAATGGGTTACGGTATATAAAATTATTAACAACTCATTTTATGTCATTTTAAAAAATATTTAGCACAGAATACATTACCACACTTAACATTCTCACAAACAGAAACAAAGATTCTTTTTTTTTTTTTTTAAATACTCAGTTCAGTGTAATAAACCTGTAAATAATAAGCTACAGGCCGGTAAAGGGCAACAAGTTTTTTTCTTAATTTCTCCCTTCTGTTGTGGTTTCCAAACCTTTAATTTTTTTTTTATGTAAAAGAACATGTTGCATGCTTTCTTTGCAATCTTCAGAAACATGATTGGCACATTTTGGACAGAAACTGTAAAAAACATTAAGGACTCGAACCATTCTTACAAGAAAAAAGAATCTACAAGAAGATAATAATAATAATAAAAACAATAATGATAAAGTGCAACCCTACAGTTTCTTAAATGTCAGTAAGTGCAAATGAAGGTTTGCAATAATATTTTACTGAAAATGCATGACCATATAAAAATATTTCTTCCAAGACATACACAAAATGAATTAAACATTGGTATTTTCCTCTGCTTCTGGAAATGTTGTTGGAAAGTTGGAATGCAACATTGAAAAAAAGGCCGACTGACATTTTTGGTGTTTTTTTCAAACTCATATTACACAACCAACACACTCTAGTTACTGAACAACCACATCTTTGTATACACATCACTATACACTAGGTTTACACTAATTCTAACAATGTCAACACAACTTAACGTAAACACTAAAACGGCGTTGCCCCATTCTAAACTCAGTTCGAAGCATTCACTTTGGTAGTTCTGGCGTCGCTGTTTATTTGAACCTATTGGCAAAGGCAGTAAACTATCAGCTGGTTTCTGCCCAACTATCACCATAATGGTCTTCAGTCAGTCCTACTACTATAAATTAATCTCAAAAAGCAAAGCTATTTGTGAATTATGACATATTACTCACCTTTACTTTGTTGTGCTTTTGAATTTTATATAGGGCATTGTTTGAAATGATCTATTCATTTCCAGTTTAAGCTAAATCTTGTGCAGTGGTGGGAACTGTTGCTTTACAGCTTGAATGCAAACGTTCTCTCTGAGCACTTCAGCGTTCTCCAAGTCTTAGTCTTAAAACATGTATGTTGGGCTAAAGTAAGTATTTTAATTGCTGTCTTTGTCTCAGTGTTGGCTCTGTGACTGACAGGCAATATTTTTTTCTGGGATGTTCTCTCTGCCTACAACCATGAATCACAAACAGGTGGAATGGAAAATGAAGAACCAGAACATGATAAAAAAAAATATTATTAATATATATACAATTTGACTTTTAGTTGTAACACAAACCAAAATGTGTGCGCGAAAAATTTATGTATCAAATTTACAAACCCGGACATAAAAAAAGATACATTTCTGTATACTACAGTAGTGCCATATTAGACTTTTAGGGGCTTTAGAGTGTTTTCCACCTAAAGAGAGATCTCATTTTTACCCTGTAGAATTTTATACCAACTATACAGGTATTAAATCACGCCGCCATTCTTGTCCCACTATGCAAGGACACAAACAGAATAGAGTAACTCAAATGCATTTATTAGTCAAAATCAATTTCACTATTGCACGTGGTAACATGCTCCTTCAGCATCACAAACAAATTGTATACTTAAAATTATCTGAATGTCTAATACAACATCCTGTAGCTGGAAATTTTCAACCAAGCAGCAAAAAACAAAAAAATCATGACAATTGTTCCTGCCAAATTTTGTTCTAAAGTACTAAATTAATCCCTAGTGGGGACTAATATTGCTACAGGATCAATCATTGTGAAAAGATGGGCTATTTCGTGGATTGATAGCAGAATAAAAATGAATAAATTCAAGATATGGACACTAAGACATTTTAAGTATCGATGCAGAGTATAAATGTGATACAGGAGTACACAAAGATTGCCATGAATAGACCAGAGTGGTGATTTTGTTGCTTGGCAACAACGTAAGCTGATGATATCACACAGTGTCAGCAGGTAGTGCAGATTAATATTCCAATACACTAAAATTTGCATTATTTAGGCCCAATAATATGTCATTCATACATCCATGTTGTAAGGTTGTCATCCAATCAGTGATAACTCGTGTTATAGAGACAAATTATGATTCCCGTAGTGAAACAATAAGGGACTATCAGGGCAAGCACCTTGAAAAAACTACTAGGAATGGTTTAAAGACTCATCAAAGCCTCGATCCCACTTTAACCAGATAAACCAAGTACGACGCCACGATAAAAAATAGCTGCTGATTATACTCGCACCTGACCACAATGACCGTCCAGTATCCCGACTGGTCAGAACATTTCTATTGCCATCACAAAGGGCATAGGATAGAGACAGACCGTATAAAATCAGCCCCAAATATGGTCGAGCAAATCTCACTCATATCAAACTGCATCGGAAGGAAAAACAAAAAAATTTTTTAATAATGATATGGATTGCCTAATTTGTGTGGAACTTTTCAACCACAACTCCAAGACAATGTGTGTAAGGGCACACAAACAAACAAACAAAAAAAAAGATATTTTTGGGAAGTCATTGTAAACACTCCCTTCTTTTGTATGTATTCATATCTTCATCTAAATATACATAAAAGCTACAAAAAAACAGCCTGAACTTTCAAACTAGTGCGATGACCGGCTGTGGAAAACACAGTTGAACATTGAAGGTGAAAAACCTTTGGATCACACTTTCTGAATCTTTTCATACAGCATTTTTTGTATTTTTTTTAATTAGCTTTTAAGCTGTTTATGATATTTTTCATGTCTCCTGTATTTAATCTAAAGTACCTTTTGATTTAGAAATTTGAAATATAAATTAAAGTTTACTCTCACTTATTCTATTTGAATGAAATAAAATAACTAATATTTTTTTCCAAAGTCCATATTGTAATTTTAATCTAAATTAACATTTTAGTTTAGTAACTTTAGTAAGTTTATTAATCAGGAGGGAGACAGATATCAGTTGCAATGTGCTAGAAAATAAACTAATTAGCCTTTGCACAAGGATTTAAGACAATTTAAGACAATTATAGTATTTATAAAGTAAATATAGTAAATTTCTGATTGGGTGTGCGAGAAAGAGATGAGTTGATTTCCTGGATTGCTGAGCTCCAGAGCCTTTTATGAGTTCTACCTTATTTAAGTTTACTTGACAGTTAATTTTGGATAGGATTTGATTTGGTGTGATCGACTCATTGCTCAGTAATCACACTTAGATGCTGTTATTTTATTTCAAGCTGAACCCCTTATTTTTTAAAAACCCAACAAAACAACAAAAAACTCCTTATGTAAAAACAGCTGCTCCGAAAATACAACTATTTGCAATTCTTGTTACATTTGACTGATTCAAAGAGCTAGTATTACCCTGTCACAGTTCACAGTTCATCGTGAATTGGGAGCAAGTATCATGCCTTAAAATGTTAAAACAGAGACTACAAAAGTCTGGAAAAATTATTGGCATTCATTTGATTAATTGAAAAGTGGTCAGGACAATTAGTGGGTATAAAAAGAGCACCATAGAGCAGTTACATGTCACGATACATAGATATAGAGATTTCAGGGAATAAAAAGTGCAATTATGATTTACTGAACAATTTCAGAATAATGTTGCTAATAGGTTCTCTTAGCTTTTTTATATATATATTTATTATTATCAATAGGGAATTATTTAAGTTAGAACATTTCTAGAAAATTTCATGGGGATGTTAGACATCTATGATCTTCAAGGCCTAAGATGGAACAGCATAACAATAAAATAAGTCGGATAAATCGGATAAGTCGGATCACCTCCACATATTATTATCAGGTACAAGCTGCAGTGATTGAACGATAGCAAGTAAAGACTGAACAGAATCAAGTAAAACATCACTGTCTGGGCTTGTTTAAAATTCTCTTAAACTAAGTGGAGAAGTGTTCCGAGGCGAAATGTGAAAGCCTTTCTAGAATTTTAGGTGATTCTACAGCTTACAGGACCATAGAGAAGGACCAATTAGTATGATCCAACCTCTTATTGGCACTTAGCATTGTTGTATGGTATTGTGACAATGGAACTTTTCAGTCCTGAGGTGTATTATTGAGCCAGAGAAGTGGCTTTTCCCTTTGAGGCATGTGGTGTTCACAATTACGTCAACACAACCTAACAGGATGTTACACATTTAAACGATTCACACGTACCTGTTAAAACTATTAAGCAGCCTTCGATTCAAGAAGAGTTGTTATTTTTTTTTAAAGATAATGAACTATTTTCCTATCAATATATGCTTCCGGTTCTATTGTGAACAAAATGACATTGTGATCAAATCGTGACAAATGATGGGATTTAGCAGATTGTGCATTCCAAATGTGATGGAAATGGGGTTAAAACAGTAAAAAAAAAAATGGATGTACTAATTTATCAACAAAAAATAGGGGTTCAATGTCATTGACGGGATTTTTTACAAAACATCATAGATAAACAAACAGCTCGGTATAACAGGTTTTACCATCATGCATATCACTGTGAATTTTATACACTTTTTTTTGTGTGATTAGAGAAGTGTGCTATCATTCTACTGTCCAAATGTTCAAATCAGGTCTGATATAAGTTGAATATGAAACTTCATTCTGTTGTATGTTGTGTTATTTATACTCAATCCACGCATAAAGGCTTTCCTTTTGTAATTTTGCTGTTCCACCATCTTAGCTTGGCTTGGCTTAACATCCAGGAGAGCACGTGGCTAATTGTGTAACCGCTGTGATGAATGGTTTTATTTGAGCTACTCAGTAATCAATGGACTGCTTCATGTTATCTATAAAAAAGGTAATCATGGTAAGTCAAATGTTCACATTCTTTACAGGATCTTCTGATGAAACAAAAAAAATATTTCAACCATTAAAACATGCACTTTACAGTATCTTTCCTATATAATGTTTTTAAAAATTGTCGACCGACTGCACAGTGTGACGTGCTGAAATATCTTAGGGCAAAAAAAACAAATGTACAACTATCTTTTCCTTTTTCCATGCAGATACGTCTCGGTGAAAAGGACCAATTACTGGTAATTTAGACGATTGACGGAATCGGAGGTTAACACCAGAAAAGGGTGAGGGGTCTTTACAGTTAACAACAATGTACAAAGTAAGAAAGACAGTTCGTTGAATCTTTTTTGTTAATCTCTTATAGAAGTAATTATCTCAAGTCAGTGAACTGAAAACAGATGACTCAAATAGTCAGTCGCTCAGCTTCTGTGAGGGTACTTCTGACTTCTTTCAAAGAAATATGCCACCATAACAAAAGGTTTGACGATTCCTGATACAGGAAAGAGACACTATTCCCTAAGTGCTTTATGGATAAAGTTCCCCTATTTTAAATGATCCATCCTTAATCGTTTAAGTACCCTTTTTTCAATGAACAATAATAAATATTTTTTTGAAATAGCAACAGTGAATGCAAAGTTACAAATGCTCGTGGTATGACGTGGTCACATTGTGCTCATGCAGGGATCAATACGGCGAGCATTATCACAGAAATATGTGCAGCTTGCCATTTGTTTAAGTCACTGAAATGAAATAATTAATATAAATTGGGGAATGTATTTTGCATCAAATTCTCTCACTAGTCAATGCGAACATAGATTTGTTTCCTCATGTGACAGATAATAAAAGATATAAATTTGTACATACATACATATATACAGACACACATATATAAACACACACGCATATATATGTGTATATACATATATTTATATAGATGTATATATACATACATATACATACGTGTGTGAGAAAAAGAGACGGAAACATATGTGCCATAAATGTCATCTTCCCTGTTTGAGGACGCTAGTATACTTCCAGTGAATCGTTCCAAAACAAGCTCTGCACGTCCAGGATGGCGGCCAGCTCCAAAATATGCTTCTGTAGAACACTGCTCTCCACTATGTCATGTTTCGGGAGCTCGGGATATGAGTCGGGAAAGCTCCGGGACTCCTGCAAGCAAAAGAAAATATCAGAATTTCTTTTTCCCTTTTTTTTTTCTCTATTAATTTTAAAACTGGTTCAAAAAGTTTTTGTTTTTTTCCCTCCAGAAGTGTATAGAGTTCTATGGTAGCTTTGGAATACTTCCTCCTTGAGTAGAATTGTGCCTTAAGCCCTCTCCTAACCAATAACTTCTGATACATATATATATATATATACAGTATATATATCCTCAAGGGGCTATTCCTGACATTCTATTTGTGAACAAAAAGTTTGGAGGTAATCACATTTATTGGCCCAGATTTGTGGTGATGACATTTAGACATTAGGCACTTCCATGCAACTTTATTGCATTCTTTCAGCATGAAACTGTTCTTTTATTTGAAGTCAAATTGGTATTTTGGGCTGAGTCAACATAATGTACAAAGGTTTTTTTGAAAAGCTAGTTAATGTACATTCTCGAAGGGTGGCTGACCAAAGTTTAGTACAGCTACTGAACTATTTGATTGGTCCTGTAGCTGGAAAGATAGCTTACTCATACATCAATCATAAGCTTAGCGATTCAAGTTGCACCATCTCCAGTCTATAAAGTCATTATCTTTGTGCATGTTATAAACTATATTACTATTTTATACACTATATTACCTCCCTGCAAAAGTACTTTACATTTACTGTATGTTGCTTTGAATAGAAGTGACTGACCTATTAATGGTAATTAGACTGTGCAAATTATCACTTAAAGGTCTTTTTTTCCATTACAAGCCACGTTAGTGAATTCATTTGCACACACATACAACAATAAGCCTTGTGCTGACAATAGATTATTTTTATGTGACACACACATTCGCACACTGATGAGTCAACATGGGGTTCAGTATCTTGCAAAGTAAATTTTAAAGTTATTTTGGTTTAGGGAAGCAAGGAATGTAAAAATCCCACCCATCCAACTGGCAATTATCACAATAACAAAACAGACCGATGAAGGTATCACATTTGACCTAACATATTCAAGCTAAAGGTGGTCGTGAATATAGTTTTTTCGGAATGTTACATACCCTACCTGTTCTGAAATAAAGAATTAAAAAAAGGAAAAAAAGTTTAATTTGTGTGACAAAATCTGGGACTTTTTTCTGCTTTCATTTTTTATTTAACACACTAGCTACTTTAGTATCTACTATTACCATCACACATGAAATCTATGAGACTTTTTGAGGAAGGGAGGTGAATTTGGAACATTTTTATGGTAAATCACCAAGGATGTGATTTAATGTCCAACAAGCTTTTTGAAATTTGTTGTGTGCTTAAATGAGGCAATGTCCCAGGGAATATAGTAAATGGAAAATGAACATGATATAAGTGTTTGAGAACCCATGTAATCGTGAAATATGGTGCCATTTCCTGTGCGATTTTTCTTCCTCGACAGTTCAACCTAAACAAAATCTCCGTCAGACATCAGAGAACAGCAGCAGCATCAACCTACTCGAAAAAGTTTATGCAGTCTCAGCGCCGCTGAACAGAAGACAAAGCGGATTATAAGCTGCCGTAGAAACTCATCACCAAAAAACTGCAAATAGGCTTGATCTGAAAGAAAATAATACAAACAGAGAAAGTTTATACATTAAATGAATTTTCTGTGACAAATAAATGTTCATTGGAAACTGATAAATCATAACTTTTATAATAAATAAAAATTATTGATATGTTGTGTTAAAACATTTAACATATTTGGTGTTGGATTACTGCTGAAACCATACAAGTTATATCAGAAATAAAAGTATACCAAAGTAAAAACAATACCATTATTATTAAATTATTCAAATAATTGATTTCAATTAATTGACAGAAAAGCAAGGGATTTAAAGATAGGATAGGACAAATGTCCAAATACTTCTGTTTTAACAATGAACGGGACTAAAAACAGGCATGAAAGAAAGGACTAAGTCTACATCAATGGCCTATTCACAGAAAAAGAATAAATATCTAAGTACACTCACACCTAGGGTAACTCTAGAATGACTAATTAACATGACGTACATGTTATGTGTATGTGGTAGGAAGCTGAAGTACCTAAAGAGAACCCAAGCACACATGAGGAGAACATGATCCACAAAAAAAGGCCTCAGCCAGAGTATGAACAGCCAGAAATTATTTTGATCAGAGCCAACAGAGATAAGCCTGAGTGAATTGTCCTAAAACAATTGTCTCATCACTCTTCCCGTTATGTGATGAAATGCTTTGAGAGTACAGTCAGGATAAACATTAAAAAGACAATACCAACAACCACCGGGCTAATCAATATAGTCAGTCCCCTTGATTACCAATGTGAAGCTTGGATAGTATGAAGGATGATGTGAAAGTATAAAAATGCAGAAAAGCATATTTGACTGTAGAAAAAATAACTTGGAAAATTTACTTTTTAGAATTCAATCATGGAAAGGTACTGTTGTCACTCCACTATGAAATGATCTTCGACGAAATTCTGAAATTGGTCGACAGGCCTGAGAGAGACCAGGACGAAATCCAGGAAGTGGAAGTGTGTTTAGTTGAAAGGAATGCCCTGAATGAGCCCTTTGATACCAGGTGGCCATATTAAGTGAGTTGGCTTGTTTGGCCTTGTTTTTGTTGTCATTCTAAATGACGGTAAGACTGTTTAGTATTAGCAGCAGGTATTTTAGGACTGTTTAGCATTGTTAGCAGGCCTTTAGCTGATTTTGTCTGCTGATTGGATGAGTTTGTTTGTTGAGTCTATTGTCTTGTCCCGTCTCCACCTCCTGAACCCCTCTATACTTTCGGTACCCTCTACTGCTCACTGGTTTAAATAGGGATCAGAGAGGAATTTTTCTAATTAAAATATTCACCGCGTCTGGTTAAGATGAATTTTATATTAATCTTATAATCACAGAATAATGCCTTTTTGGCCAACTATGGAGGTAGAGACAGGGATTGTAATTTTCCTTTCAGAAAGAACCCCAAAGTAAGCAATTGTTATTTTAGTGGATTATCTGACTCAGTAGAAAGCAACAACAGTCGCAAAACTTTGCTCTGAACATAAGAACAGTGTTAAAAAAATGGCTAATTTATGACAGTGACAAAAAACAAAAAAGGCTGATAGTATGACATGTAGATACCTATGGTTCTCGATCGAGTTATCATCTGCCCAATGTCACGGAAGACATTGCACAGAAATTCTTGGGCCCTTTCCCACAGTTCCCGTCGTATGCTGTTCAAGCCGCACACAGAGGAAAAAGCCAAAAGGGGGCTGTAGAGGAACAAAGTGAAGAGACTCCCACGCTGAGACTGATCTAAATAGGTGAGTGGAGAAATGGCACAGATAGTAGGTGAGAAAATGAATTACAATTTTCATAACTTTTTCATCAACTCCCACGAAGGCATGAAAAGGCCTCTTTAGTAAACAGCATCGCTTTATAAACACATACAAATATGCAGAGATGCAGATAAAGTAACCCCATATTTTGAGAAAAAGAAACTATTGTATTATATTTAAAAAAAATTAAATTTCTTATGTCTCAATCAGCAATCAGGTACTCAGATTAAAAGCAACAATATAAGAATAAATAGGAAGTTACTTCTTTGAAATTGTTATTGATATTATTATTATCACTATCATTCTTTAAATTAGTATCTTTATAATATTTTTTTGCCATTTTTTTATCATTATTATTATTATCATTATTATGTTTTTGATATCATATTGATATTCATATATTATGATCATTACTACCAGTGATGGTGATCATAGTTCAGAGTGGTTTACTAAATCAGAACCATGTTATACAATATCAAGATATTGATGAACATAAGAATATACTATATCACCATCATTATTTTTATATTACACTATTTGCAGAATAATGAAATAAAACTGAACAACAATAAAAAATAATCTTTGTTGATCCTATCAATTGTAGCGTCCATAGACAGTGTAAGGATATGAAAAAGTGTAGACATATATATAAATTTATTTGATTTTAGTCACATCCACAGAGTAACACACACCTTGTACAGTTTTAGGATAAACTGCAGGCGATAGTAGGCACACCAAAGGCTGGCCAAACAGATTTGTGAAATTCTATTCCGAAAAAGGAAAGAGAAAAATGATTTAATTAATGCTGAGCACACAGAGAAAATATTTAGTGTGGTAGCATCACAGACACAAACTTTGACCGTTTTTTTCAAAGCAATTTCTCCAAGTTACATACCTTATAGGCTGTACTGTTTGATGAATCCACAATGATAAAAAGTGGCTTCCGAGTAAAAGGGAATAGGTCCCCTGGATGAAGGCTGCAACATTATGTACGAAGAAAGAAGCAAAATCAAAAATCTGGTTATGGGTTAGATCATTAAACTGCCTGATACCTGAAAACAAAACGCATCAAACTTTGCAGAACTCAGTTTTATATAAACATAATGGGAATGCACGCTGTTAAATAACATGAAATATACAGGTTTTGATCAGTTGAATCATTAATATGTTAAGTTAACTTACCAATGCATTTCTTTGAGCGCATGGTTCTTCTTCTGCACTGCCTCTCCGTTCACCACATCACGATTTGTGTTTGTGAGCACTCCTCCAAAATCATATGGTCCTGCTGGAAATTAAATCTGTCACTGCTTTACCTTGAAAAGAAACACTGTCATGTGAATTAAAAATGGTAAAACGCTCAAAACCAAGATCAAGTGTGGTTATAAAGATTTTTCTTTTTTTTTCTTTTCTTTTCTAAATGCATTCTTATTATTTACTCACTATATTAATGTTTCAACAAGGATGCAGTTATCGTCTTTTTTCTCTTCCAGATTAAACTGACTGGGCTCCACTTTTAAGAATGGTTTTACAATGCTATTTCCATAAATAATATGAAGAGAAAAACAATAGTATATGACATATTTGATGAATACATTTATTCTTAACGATGTATTAACCCTTCATCAAAATTACATGAAAATTCATATAGAAAAATGTATAAATACAAGCGGCCAAAAATGATATTCAAGTTACAGATTAAGATATGAACATTCAGCTCATAGTCATATCAATAGTCAATCATCCGAATAGGAATACAATTGAAACACAATTAAATAAATCTGACTTGTAGCGTCACAGTTTCTGTAGATAATGTGAATATTCATCAAGCACACATATTCTAGAAGTTGTGTCATTAAAAACAACTTGTTTATTTGTTCCATTTCTGTGGAAGCTCAGAATCAGGGTCGATAGGATGAATATCAGTAACCCAACATGTCTACTGGAATGATGATCACTGCTCTGAGTCCGAACCACAGAGTTCAGTCTCTGAGTCACAGCTCAGATACATCATGCCGTTTGCATTTATTTAGAAATATATCATTCATAAACATTTAAGTTCAAATGGACAGAAAAAGAAATTGGTAAGGCATAACACTCCATTATACCTTCATACTCTGAATGTCCAGTGGGGAAGACACCAGTAGCCGATAAGTATACAAGCAGCACACTGTTGGCAGGCAATTCCTGAAAATAAAAGTAAGAAAAAAAAACAATTAGGCAAATTCAACCTCCACAACTTCAACGTTTCATGTATGTCAACTGTAAAAACTTTAACTTTTTAATCACAAATTAAAAATCTTGAAAAAAAAACAAAAACAAAAAAAAAACAAAGGAAAACATGATTGGATTAAAGGAAAGATGAGAATAATATCAGTAACTATGCCACAAATACTTAGAATTTTTGAGGATGGTGGATTCTCCATTTTGGACAACTCTACAACTTTGAAAATATTTCACAAAACAAATAACTGATGTGACAGTTAACCCTGAAAAATATAATCAAAATTAATACTGACCTTAAAAGAGGCAGACAAGAAAGTAAAAAGCTGGCTGAATGTTGGCTTATACAGTAAATATTTGTGAGGGTTTTCTCTTTTCGTTGGCTTCTCAGTGGGCTCCTGTGGAGATACATTAGAATATCAAATCTGTTACTATTGCAATTCATATTTGTACTATAGTCATGTAAGACATTCAATCATGATACAGTCAGAGTGACTGTATGAGTAAGCGTCAGGCCTTTCTGTGAGGTGTTTGCATGTTCTCCATTTGTAAGGAAGGGTTCTCAGATCCTTTTCGCATTCACAAACCTTCTAGTTGCCGACCTGTCTTTCAAATTTCAAATAAAAGTGTAAGAAACAACTGCAGCCACATGTATGACAAATCTGTTCAAAAAGCAATAAGACTAGGACCACCTGGTCAATATTGTGATGGTCCTCCTTATTGTAAATTGTCTAAATTCGCACAATTTCCCAGTCTTCTTGCAGAAAGGTAACACTAAAAGCCACATTCATTCAAGACTTTTTCTGTAATGTTCTGACGCATTTAAGCATACCACTCACACTGTAATGTACACTACACATTCTATTGTGATTCTTCTTCTTCTCTTCATCTTATTTTTTAAAGCTTGAAATGCATTGACTATTGCTCTTTCACTTTCATACAATTTCCTCTTACATTTTGATGTATTCTTTAGCCAATTGTTCCCACTTTTTTCCAGTTTCTTAAATACATTCTGTTGTGTTCATTCAACGGCAGGCATTATCACAGCTAAAAATCTCTTTTTAATTTATTTCAGCCATAGCAGTACTTTTTATATCATATTAACTACTACAAAAGGAGCTCTGGTCATATAGAGCATGATCAAAAAAACTATCTGGGAATTAGAACATTAGAATCAAAGCCTTTGGACTCCGTGGGTTCAAGACTTGATGGACTGGGTTGACATATTCAGCTGAGCTTGATAAGTGCAAGTAAAAAAAAAAGTCAATTTCAAACTATTCACTTGCAATACAACCTATTTTAAATGTACAAAGCATCCCAACTTAACTGGAATTGAAGGTGTACTTTCCATTTCTTGACGATTGTTATAAACACTTTCGTACATAACACTCACCAACGATCCTTGTTTCGATGTTTGGGTGGCCAGGTTCACAGGTTCCCTCTCCAAAGCTTGAAGCATGCGGAACATATCAATGGTCAACTCACTGAACTTCACCTAAAGATAGGGGAAACAATATGACAAAAGAGAATATCAACCAATATTACATATTAGCCACCCTTTTACTGTCTGTCTCTTTTACCTTTCCCTTCAAAACATTTGAGTTTTCTAAATGTTGAGTCTGCCAACCAATCCATCCATTAATTGATTAGCATGCAAAATGTTAAACAGAGAAACCCTGACATCCATCATCCCAGTGATGCAACACTCTTGAAGGGTAATCCAAGTTTATCTGACCACCATTGGAAACATTTTTTAGATGGTTGTATTTGAAGCCTCATTCTTAATTGACCAAAATCTCTTGACCATAGGGCTGGAACAACGATGAAATCGTAAACTGAAGGCTTCGCCATCTGGTTTAGCTCCCTCCTCACCCCAACACACAAATTCAGAGGCCTCATTACTGCCAACAAAGCCCCAATCCATCTATCGCTAACTGCAACGTCACTCATGGACAAGATCCCAAGACACTGAATTTCCAATACTTGAAGTAGGGACTATAACCAATATTACCTCAAACCTTTTCAAAAAGAAGCTAATGACCTACAAAAAGCAGACTGTGACAAACACACAATGTAAACAAGGTACAGCTAGATGGTTTTACTCCAATGATGCCTTCAGTAAATCTACAATGGTAAAGATCTGGGGTCTCATTTATAAAGGATCTCTAGTAAAAGTGCACGTTCAGCAAAAAGCGAATGGTGTACGCCCCCCAAAGATTTTTTTTAAAATTCCACCATGCGTACGGACATCGGTGAGCAATTTTCCCCTCCACATGCAATATTTATGTACAAAGCTCTGCCTTATGTTCTGTCCTCTACACACCAGCTGATCAATGTTATTTCATGGTTAATGACGACAACCACAGAGAACAGAGCAAAGAAATGCAATTTCACAGAGAGCGTTGGTGAGTGAGTTGGAGAGTCGAGAAACGATCTTGTTTGGTAGCCACAGAATTGGCGTGACAAGTAGTGAGAGGCAAAACATTGTTACACGTTATTGTGATTATTACTTTTGGAAAACTGGAAATTGCTGCAAACTGCCTTAAATGTTGGTCTGTTTTCCAACTATCGTGATTTCAATTTCGCCTTTGTTGTTCTGCTCACTCTCCCTGCCTCACCTGCTTATTACTGATTGTCCTCATCTGTACTTATCCCCTATCTAAACCTCCGCTCAGTCTGTTTGCCTTTTCACAGCCTTCAAACACTATTCTATGAGCCAAGCGTTTTCCTGTTTGTGGTGTCCAGAGTCAGAACCAAACAAAGTGAGGCTATTTTCAGTTTTATGCTCCTAAAATCTTAAACAGTCTTCCTGAAGAAATGAGACAGACCTCAGCTCTGACAATGTTTAAATCCAGCCTGGAAAGTTCAGCTAAGTTCTATTTAGCTGTGCGTATGAAAACCGAATGCATTTCATCTGCTCTCTTTACTTTAAATCCATTTAACCGATGGTTGTTTTATTCTGTTATCATTAATTTTCTGCTTTTAAACTCTCGCTTTTTAATGCATTATCTTGTCTGTAAAGCACTTTGAATTGCCTTGTACACAAAATGTGCTACACAAATCAATTTGCCTTGCCTAATTGTTGATTATAAGCTGGGTTTGGGCTAATTAGTATTGGTAAGAGCCAGTTGCCAGTCGTCATTATGGCCCAGGAAATCTTGGTGATCTCTGAATATGTGTTTCTTCCTAATTCTCCCATTTGCAAGGTCTTCAAACAGTGCCAATGCATCCTTCATTCACACCGCATTATTCATAAGTGTCACCATGGTATTAAAATGTTTACCGTAGTCAGTCCAATTGGCTCAGATCTTTTCACAATTTATGTGTTAGTCTGTTGTTAACATCACCCTGTTGATTATCGGGCAGAGGAACTTAATGCTGACCATGTTTTGTAGGATTTAATCTAAGATGTAAAGATTTGATAGGCCCTTTTTTATCTTCTTGAAAGATCTATTTATGTGCCGTTATGGGTCACCAGCTCAAGCTGTTTTGAGTGCTTATGATAAAGTCAAAATATGTTGACTGTCATTTATCAGAGATTTATATGCAAATAATAGCTGATGCTGATAACAAATCTAAACCTGTTTGAATTAAATAAATAAAAAGTATTCAAGCCATCTGCAATGAAATGCATCATACAAATTGGGCTTTTGCAAATTCTGTTATCTCTGAGGTTGGAAAAACTCAATGTGTCATGTTCTTGAATAAATAAATAAAACATTTCCCTCTGGGATTATTAGAGTATTTCTGAATCTGATTCTGATTTAAACCATTTGTCTCTTCAGAAGCAATTGATCCTGTCTTTTCTCCTGGTTACTGCATGTAGCTCAGTGTCCCGGGAGCAAGAAAACGACAATAAAAAGCATTTTAAAATACTATATTTGTAAAAACATAAATATATTTTATCGATTGCAGAGTCAGACTATGCTGAAAAACAACACTGCAGATCATAACACATCGTAAAAGATTTTGCAGACAAAATTAATAGGTTAATGTTGAAAAAGTACTCGGTGTCCAAATATCTAACCGAGTTTTGCCATTACAACTGGTGTACAGTTGTGCCGATTATGTGTTGTCAGAATACCCCGTTAAAATTAGTGAGTTAGAACCTGGTTGTTACAGTTGCCGATGATTAGTGCGTCAGCGAGAACAAGCTGCCCGACCACCATGCCTTGTTCCAGCGGAGGCACGCTCCCGTCCAGCAGCCTGTTGCTGGTTATCACCACAGTGTTGTTGTCGTTCACAACAACCACCGGATCTGCCTGTTTCATACAAGAAAATACAGAAAAAAATGTCTTAATGCAACATATCAGTTCATCCGGACTGTCAGAAAGAACAAAGAATTTAGTGTTTTACAAATTAGGGGAATAACTGACTTCTACAAAAGCAGCCACTTCTTGTAGAACCAGGTTCCATTCTAATTGGTCCTCTGTATTGAATCGCTGTGTGTAGTCTTCAATTTCCTCAGATAACTCCTGTAGGAAATATAACAAAGTAAGAAACATGACCACTTGAAATACTGAAATACCAATTTCTGTTGTTTAGTAGGTATACACTTTTTCCGCACCTTGACCAACACTTTGACCAGGTCCATCTTGTTTAGCAGTAAACAGACGACGATGTAGCGTGCGTAATATCGAAGCTTCTTCACCACTAATTCAGGTCTGGTGAAAACAAAAGTACACTATATGAGTTTAGATAGTCATCAAATGCTCTTAAAACACATTCAAGTCGAAAGCCTGGACCAGTTAAGTAAAATAAAGATGTTTGTAGCTTAATTCTTTTTTTCTTCCGAAACATAGATTACATAAATGAATCTCTTCAACAATTAAATTGTTCACTTTTTCAAGTACCAAGCAAAAAACAAATACAAATCTTCCTTTTTTAATGACAACATAAGATATTTTAAGGAATGAAATGCTGAGTTTACCTGTCCTCTTTATTAACCTGAAAGTAATAGGAACGTTGACGGATAGCTGAGTAGAATGAAAAGGCCTCATTAAGATAGCTTGTTTCTGAGGTACGAAGGCTAACAGGAAAGAGTGAGAAAAGTCGGGGAATTATCACTTTAGAAAGGTGAAGACATCAAATGTTATGTATGTTTATCCAAATCTAAAAAAAATGTTAATTACGTATGAAAAGGTATGTTTTGATTGTGGAAATTGTAATTGTAACAAATGTATAATAAAGAAATCAAACAAAGAAAATGAATAAAAAATAAGTTAAAACTATTATTACATAATCATCTTCATGAAATAATAAAAACAATCATCCATACAACTGTACCGTTTGAAAGGGTTTAACTTTTTGGACTTGTTTCCAAAAAAAGGATGTTTATGTCTGTACAATTACAAATGTTGTGAGTTAAATTGTGACTTACTAATAATGGTAATAAAGCTGTCCGATTTTGGATGCAACTTCCCCAATCTGCCATCTCTTTAAGCCATACCTGGTATCGAGAACCTGCCTGTCAAGAAAAAGAAGAGGACACAAGGTTTGGTCAAATATTCTTAACCCTTTAAAGCCCGATCCAAGAATAAAACAAAACAGAAAGTTCCTTTTTTTTGTTTTAAGTCTATATTTGGCCTTTTAACAAAATATGTAAAAAGAAAAAAGAAAAATACATTTTTAATATTAATAATTTATTAATATGCGATAGGTCAAGAATATTTTCTGTGTAGTCTTCTGCCCCCTGTTATCAGGTGTATCTGATTGTGTAATATAGGATTTTGAGAAAAGTTTTTACCATTGAATTATGCAAAAGGTGTCAGACGCAAAACATTTCAGAAACCTTATGTATCAAATATGATACGTTTGGCATTACAGGGTTAAAGATAAAAAAGATTGACTGAATTGCAGTCAATCTCAGAGTCCAGCCATGAAAGTCACATTTAATTGTAATGTTTGTCATCCGATTCAGAGAAAAATTCATTTCTAATTCTTTTTACAGAACCTAATTTCTTTGTTTCTCTATACTTGAAGCATAGCACTGTTCTTTGACTTATTAAAATGCATGAGGAAAATGATTACCTGTGTTGCTGCTGAAATTTCCACAGTTTAGTGTAAACATCAAAAGTCCTCCCAAAGTAGGACTGCCACTGCTTGTGTCCATACTGAGGTAGGTCTCTGTAACAAATATCAACAATTGTAATATAGACAGAAAGATAAAGGAAAGAGTAGGAAAAAAAACACACAAACATCCGGGGTGCTTGTCGGGAAATAGAAGTGGTAACCGCTTATTTTCAGGAGCATACTTGTTAGAAATACCAAGCAATCTTTCAGCCAAGAATAACTTTGAACAAAACTAAAAGGGATGCATCCTTAAAGATTTGATACAGCTCAGAGAGAATTGATGTCAAATATTGCTCTCTTTTGGCTTACATTTGAAAAGACTGCTAACTTTTTTAAGACAAAAAGCAATAGATTAATAGTTTCCCATAAAAACAAACACACCACCACCACACCGAAAGCAACCACCCCGAGGGGAATTTTCCAGCTATCAAATTAGGCTTTTCATGCTGCATTTATGAGTCAATATCTATTGTTATGCATGTTGAGTTCAAAAGCATGCTCAGTATAAGAGTATCAGCATTAGACAAATGTACTGTAACAATAGCTAACAAGCAGCAGGGATGTTTTATCACATTTCATATAGTTCTGGTGTGTTAGGCCTTTAAAATGATCCCTTCGAACTATACGATATAGTTATTCTCACACAGATTATAATATATTGAGGGTGAAGTTTGAGTCTTATACCCCACCAATCATATCACTTTCAGTTCAATCTAATTCAATTTTATTTATATCTGTAGTTATTTCAAATATATTCACATTATAATACATGAATGTACTCAAATATAGCTGACAGGGTAGGAAATACATGATATTGGTAGGGGAAACCAGAGCAACCTTCTTTATCAGTTTGGTCTTTTTTTGAGTCACTAGCCATGATAGAACGACTGTATTCCTCAACCACCTCCATCAGCGTTAGCATTGCTTCTGGTATTCCTAAAAGTTATCTATTTTGTTCATTTGTGTTTCAGATTAGCTCGTTGTTTGACACCATGTCACAAAGTGTTCAGTTCTCTCTCCATGCTTCTCTCTCATCCACACTTCTAACCTTCTACCAGTGTGCCAAATGGGTCACCTGTGAAAAAAAAAAAAACTTTAGACTTGCTGTACACAAACGTTAATGATGGGTACAGCCACACTGCCCTTCCACCACTGGGCCAGTCAGACCACAACCTTGTCCTGCTCTCATTAAGACACAAGTCTATAATTCCGGGCAACCCAGTTACAGTGAGGACAGAAAGGAAATGGTCTACTGGACGCCACATGCTGGGATGCTCTGTATGACTCACATGGTGAAGACATTGATAGACTTACTAGCTGTGTCTCTGACTAAAATGGATTTTGAATTAACAACACCATCCTTTCTACTTCCACTGCCCCACACCAAAAACGAGGGTAATCAGCGACCTGAAGGTTTTCCTTAATAAGAAAAAGGGCATCTTTAGATCAGAGCAGAGCTCAAACAGGTACAAAGGGAGCTCAAGCTCAGCATGAGAGGAAGAACAACTACAAGAGAAAAGTGAAACACAAACTGGAGAACAACAACACCATGGAGGTTTGGAGTGACGTGAGGGAGATCAGCATCTTCCACAAGAGAGGTGGGGAATAAACAATAGGTTCAACTACAAACCCCACCACCCACAACTACCCCTCTAATGCTGCTTCTCTGAGCAAACACCCATCCGCACGCCCCACCACATCTTGCCCCCCTTGACTATCCCTACCCTCCAGCTCACTATAGGCCTGTAGGATGAAGTTGAGGCAATCAACTATCTCTTCCAGAAGGCTAACTTGTTCCTGGCTAAGAGAACGTCTTGCTGCACCGGAGGACTACAGGCCGGTAGCATTGACCTCCCACATCATCAAGTGAGAGGCTGGTTCTGCACACATCGGATCACGGGTGCAGCCACCACTAGACCCCTTGCAGTTCATACATCAGCCCCAGCCTGTGGTTGATGAGGGAACCATCTATCTCTTCCAAAAGGCAAACTCCTTCCTGGAGAAACCCAACACCTCAGCCTGAATGATGTTTTTTTACTTCTCTAGAGACTTCAATTCCATCCGGAGACTGCTGAAGGCCAAACTGAAGAACAGGCCGGTGGGTGGTTCCCATCATCACTACCGAACAGACAGTCAGCCTGATCCCAGTGTCCAAAGAGGTCATTCTGGGGTCCTTCCTCAATCCCAAAACATGCAAGTTAGGCTCATTGAACAACCTAAATTGAATGTGTGCAGTTGTTTGTCTCCCCTACCCAGTGTCAGATGGGATAGGTTTTACTGGGAATAGGCGGTATTGATAATGGATGTTTTAATTACATGCCTGTTCGAGTGACAAAGCTGACATTTGTAAAACTCTACCAGAAAAAAAAAGCAATTCAGTAGTGGCTTTAGATAACTACATTAGATACACGCATACATTAGATGATAGGTTAGCAATGATTTGATTTGATTGATTTTTTCTTAATTCAGGCATCCAAGTTATCGTATTTCAAACATAATACAGTCATTCAAGGTTTTTTAATTCAGGCATTTAAGTTAATCATTTAGTTACTAGGTTGCTTGATAACGTCTTAAGTATCAATTAAGATAATTACATCCAGATGTAGGTTGGTAACAGTGTCTGAAAAATATAAATTCATGTCTGTCCATTTGTTTAGAACCAACTCAGTGGAAACTCAAGGAAGACTGTATAGGCGAGTGGCAAGGATGCCACATAAAAAAAAATCTTTTTAAAAATGCATATTTTGCCACCCACTCATTACAGAAAGTGTAACTCAAATATATAATAGATTAATGACACAGAGAGTGAGATATTTCTTAATTTCTTCTAGTAATTTTAACCATCATGGCTTACAGATTATTAAAAACCCCAAATTCAGCATCTCAAAAAATATGAATTTTATGAAAAAGGTAAAGATTGGAAACTCATGCTAATCAGCTAATTAACTAAAAAAACCTGCAAAGGTTTTGTGAGTCTCCAAATTGTGTGTCAGTCTGGTCAGTAGCTACACAATCATGGGGAAGACTGATAACTTGACATATGTCCAGAAGACAGTCCCTCAAAAAGGAGGGTTAGCCACAAAAGGTCACTGTTAAAGAAGCTGGCCTTCTTTAGCCTTGTCCACCTTTACAAGGCTACGTGTTATGGGGGGGGGGGGTCATTATTTGTAAGCCATAGTCCTCAAAATGACAAGAAATACATTTTTTTAATATTTCCCTCAATGTGTAATCATTCTATATTATATGGGCTTCACTTTCTGAAATGAGTGACAGTAAATATTGAACTTGTTAATGAAATTCTATTTGAAATGTGCAATGCAATTTTATACACTACTAGGTCATGTGTGGCAAAACAGCCGATAACAGCCGATGACATTTATACATAAGATCACCTAATTTCCATCTTAATTTGAAACAAAATAAATCGTTTCACTAGTCTCTACCTTCTACATGGCCTCATTTTACTCATTTCAAAATATAAATTCAGATTATAGTGTTTGCTATTGTAAAGCAGCCCTTTACATGTCTAAATGTAGCTAAACTGTCAAGGAACACATGTTCTAAATTTAGCATTTTTATTCCATTTATGTATTTCTGTTTGAAATACAATGCAATTGAACGGTCAAAAGACAAAGTATGAAGTTATAACTTACCTCAGCCCATTGAACAGTTGTTTGGATTTGTCCAGCAGGTAGCAAAAGTCGGTGACAGTTTTTCTTTCACCTAATGGAATGTCATCCTCTGTCTCAGCTCCAGTCATGACAGTGCCTTTTTTTTACACCCAACTACGAAGAAAATAGGATCAAGAAATGCTGGATATAAATAGCAAAGACGAACTGGCTTAAAAGCGCTGAAGAAAAAAAAACACAAAAGTAAAATAGGATACTAGAAATTTTAACACCAAAACATGTCTTGCACCAATGTCAATGACAGTTGTAGAAATCAAAATCTGTTGAGGTGCCCTAGTTCAATGTGAATAGAAATAAGAAACTATGAAAGAAGTGTGTCACATGGTCACCTTTTTTAGGTTGACCTAGGCTGTCCCAGATTTCTTCTCACAGCACTGGAAACTTTCAATTTCCTAAGACAGATGAGCAATCAGGTCAAGCACCACAGCCAGGTAAAAATGTTCAGCTGATGTGGCTTTTTAAAATCGATTGCAATAACCGACAATCACATGATTCCACTAAAAACATACGGCTAAAGCCTCATAGGAGTTTGGATTTCAACGTCAGCCTGTATGCATTTATACTGAGGACTGTATAAAAAAAAGTAAGGTAGTTTAGGAGTATAAATAATTCTTGTCGATTACATAATACCATAAGTGAGAGGCCTTATTGGACAATAACATAGGATGCTGCAGGACAGTAAGGCCAAACATGCAGGCAAATATAAATAATGCACAAGAAGAAGTAGTTGAATAGCCAGAGTGTTAGCTCCTGCCCTATTACATCACTTCAATGGTTCCGGTGAACTACTAGAATTTTTAGAATTGTAAAAAAAAATAAGTTGACAGGATCTGGTCAATCTTCCAAATAATCTTTTCAGTCTTAGAGCTACCAACTACTACTATTCTGCTAAATACTGTTATCTTTACTGATCCACAATTCTAAAAAGTGAAAGGGTTGCGTCATTTCAAAACAGGGATCAAATATCAACATACCTATCTGAAACACTCCGCCTGTCTCAGACAGTTCTCTGGGCCAAGATGTCTGTGTTGTGGGTCCTAATGATAACATTATAAAACATTTTATTAATACACCACTCGTGTCTTATGACTACCAAACTGCATTCATACGCAACAATTTATTTAACTTTTTTGAGCATTGTAGAAAGTTGTTCTCTCTGCTATGTCAAGTTACCTGGGAGATTTACAAATAGACATACGAGACAAAATACATTACCGTTAATTAACTGTATTTAAATAGTGCTTATATAACATAAAATATCAGTCTGTACAGAAACTTTACACATTAGATGTATTTAGCTTGCCCATTTTGAATATGAATTTTCTCTCATCGACCGATAAAGTTCTGTTTTCTTATGTATATTATTTGTGGTGGTTAGCACCGTCGGCAAGAAGGTTCCTGGTTCAAGTACCCGGGGGACTGTGTGGAGTTTGAATGCCCTCCCAGAGTCTGCCTGCGTGGGTGTCCTCATGATACTGGCTTCCTGGGATAGGCCCCAGCCGACCACAGTTTTGGTTTAATTCAGCTGGGGGTCAGCAACTTCTGGTTAGCTTTTTATTTCAGAAATATGAGGAAGGCTCAAGACACTAAATATTATTATTGAAAGTAACCTTCAACCCAGTCTTTTTTTTTTTAGCAAAAGTTTGTATGCAGACATAAAATGAGGTTCTCTCCCTAACAGTTTAGAGATTTTACAAATATATAACACTATAGTTTATTAATTCAATACATAAAACTATGCTTTTTTAATATATGCAGGGTTTTCTTAATTTAAAAAGGGTCTTTTTTATTAGGTAAACTCATCCAAATAGTTCTCTTTACGTGTTAACGGTTGCTGACCCCTCGTCTGGATATAAAAATAACTAAGCACTGGGTAATAAAAATTGCGTCCAAAAGGAATTCCATCTATACAGTTACTATACCTGCTCATTCTTTATATGTATTCACCATCACAGGGACACACTAAACAAAAGTGAAAAGACAATTTACAGCCTACCATACGGGAATGCTTTGGAAGGTGGAATACCAGTATTTGATTTGAATAAAGATTTGATCCCCTCTCTTTCCTGAAATTTTAAAGATCCCTTTGAAAAAAGAGAACATGAAGGAAGAACTGACGTTTTTTTGCTTTGTATTCACATCATTTTAACCTTCCCATTGCTGATGCTGGTATACTTTGTGGTCATTTACGAAGATTTTCTCAGCAGGAAAAACTTTGATGGAACCACAGCTTCCTACTATCCTGATTCATCCATCCATTTTCTATACCGCTTTAACTGGATAAAGGCCACAACTCCAACTCACAAACGATGGGTAGAAGAGGTGATGGCACATCTTAAATTAGAACATCTTAGATGTACTTTGCAGGGCAACACTAAGAGATATTCTAAGGTTTGGCAGCCTTTTATTTCATACTTTGACCATGAGTTTTCCATTGCTCCAACATAATTAGCAGGTTGTGACCCCACATTTTTTTCCCCTTTTTCAAAGATTATTTTTGTTATTGTTGTCATTTCTATTTATGTATTTATTTTCAACCCATCTGGACCACACGGGTGGTGAAGTACGATCGGTCTTGTTACTGTTTAGTCTTTTGTTTAGACGTGTGCTTGTGATGTATATTTTGACTCCGTCTATTTTGTTTGGAACTTGAACTGGAACTGATGTTTAAATAGGAAAATTAATAAAACACGTTGTTTATTATTTCTATACTAATTATTCCCAACGGGTCGTGGGTAGACTGGGGACATTCCCAGCTAACGGGCAGAGCCGGGTGGGTTCACCCTGGACTGGTCACCAGTCCATTCCAGGGCCCACACAGAGACAAAGCGGGAACTAGGGACCTTTCCACACAAAAAAGTCCCACGCCCCCCTCCCCGGAGACTCAACCCAGGAACTTTCTTGCTGTGAGGCAACGGTGCCATCGTGCCGTCCTAACCCCATTCAGTCTGAGGAATTTGAGGACACCCTTAATTCACAAAAAAAAAAAAATATCCCACTTATCCACAATCCTCTAAATCCTACCAATAATCAGGCCAAATAACCAAATAAACCCCTTTGGCTTACTAAAATGGAAACTGGTCAAAGGGTCTTAAATATCTGCTAGTGATCAGTTATAGATAATGCTTTAATACTCCCTTTACTTTTTTATGCAGACAAAACGTGCAGAGGAAAATGCATGAGATATAGTATTTATTGTATCTTTTTTTTAAATGTATTTAAAGATCATAAGACATTTGAACCACTGGCATAAAAGCAGAGTAAATCAAAGAAAGACCTCAAGCTGAGGGACCGTTCATTGAGGTAGTGCCACCGTAAAAACCGAATATTCCTATAGATATGTCCCAGATATATAATTTCCCATTCAGAATTTGATAGTCGTCTCTAAATCCGTATAAACTGGCCGAATTGTATTATTTTTAGTCCAATCGTGCCAAATGATTAGCCAGATAGATGTCCACTGCTGGCATTCTTTGACCAGGTTAGAAAATCACTACAATGATAATTCAACAAAATGAGAAGACTGTATCTCTTATTAACAAACATAGCCACTTATCGCAAAGGCGTGTAAACCAATAAGGACCCGGTCACATGATTTTTTGCGGTAGAATTAATCGCATCTGCTTTAGTCATTCATACTTTAACTTACCTCACCAGGCGACTAGCGTAGATGAGCAGATGGAGCCACTACAAAAATAAAATTTAAACAAAAAGCCTCGTCGAGCTCGTGACACGGGGCCTTTCTCAGTATATCCACGTCTTGCTATATTATTGTAGAACGATAGATTAAACGGCATGTACGTGACTGCAGTATGTCCCAGTCATAACGCTATTGAAAGGTTTGTTGTCCTGGTAGACAAGAGGAAGGGTGAGGACTGTGGCTGAGAGCCACTACTGCTAGGTACTTCCGGGTCACTGTTAGCCACCCGCAGGGAGAAGGTTTCACAGGGCGTACCCGTTTTTTTTTTGTCTTTTTTTGTCTTGAATTAAACTCACCTACCATATTGAAACCAACTAATTGTCGCAAAAAAAAAAAAAAAAAAATTCGCGCCGTTACACTAACATAAATATATTTTCTGCCGTGAGCGCGAGCTGACAATAAGACTGAATCAATATATTAATCAATATATCTATCTATCACCCCAAGAGTTCCCAGGTTGTTTAATTTGAAGTCTTTTAAAGTTTGATATAACATCTGATTTAATGTGGAACCTAATTTGGGATAAGTAAGGTAATTTTCCAGTATTAGCCTATTATCATTTATCTGCCAAAGCCTATTAGCCTACTCAGACCAACACAGACTCTTCAATGCTGATGCCAGCTGCTTTCAAAGGAAGGGGTCGTATATTATTTTTTTCGTGGATGAAATTAATTCTCACTGGAAAAAGGGTAAAGGGCCCTTATCCAGGTCAGGGGGGACCTTCCCCAATTGAAAGAGTTCATGTATGTTGGGGCCTTGTTCACGTATGGGGATAAAATGGAGCGGGACATCCACAGGCGGATTGGTGTTCCGGTCTTTCGTGATTAAGAGAGAACTGAACTTAAAAGCGAAGCTCTCGATTTCTTGGTCGATCTACGTTCCTATCTTCATCTATGGTCATGAACGTTGGGTAGTGACCGAAAGAATGAGATTGCGGAGACAAGCAGCCAAAATGGGTTTTGTTGGCATGATAGAGATAGCGTGAGAAGCTCCTGGAACACCTCCCTGGTGAGGTGTTCCAGGCATGTCCCACTGGGGGGAGGCCCAGAGGAAGATTCAGGACACGCTAGAGGGACTATGTGTCTTGGTTGGCCTGGCAACCCCTTGGGAACCCCCCGGAGCAGCTGGCAGAGGTGGCAGGGGAGAGGGAAGTCTGGGTTTTCCTGGTTATGCTCCTGCCCCCGTGACCTGACCCCGGATAAGTGGTGGACGATGAATGGATGGACATTCAGTTGTACACTCTTTTAAAGCCTGGGGTTGGAGATTCCGGCAGTTTCCCTCCACTGCAGCCGCTTTGCAATAGACAGGCTACTTTAAACGACTATGCGGAAGATCATGACTGATGTTCACACTGCAGACTCCCAAAAGGCACTTGTGGAGCTTAGATATGTTTTTTTAAAGGCCTTCACCAGGCTGGTCTTTGTCTCTACCCCAAGCTGTGTCACCTTTTTTGATGGGAGAAATCCTTGGATCAAGTCAGTGCAGCAGTGATGACCACTGACCAAGCGAAACTGGGGATTGACATGTCCTCCACAACATTTCTACGATGTAGAACTTTCCGGGCCTAGTGTCTTACTACTGATAATCTGTCAAATATCTTGACAGTTCCATATTTCAGTTGACATAGAGTGTCCCAGATGCCTAAATTACCAGACCAAACATGTTCAAGTGCTAAGGTTAGCACATGGTGCCTTTAACTTTTTGGCACCACAACTTGACAAATGGCTGTGAACCATTGCTTAGATCCATTACCATTGCTAGTAAATGACAAGAATACATTGAAAGTGAAAGGTTTGAAACAGTCATCTGCCTGGTCCCCTCAAATAAATGTTGTGCCCCCTCAAACTAAATCCTCCAAAATTGATTATTAAATGTACAAGGCGATACCGTCCTCTGACTCCATCTGAACTCTAAGTTTTCAATGTCCTCAACAGAGAGAACAGAAAGGCTTAAAAACCTACATTTTTTGGGGGTAGAAGAGATCTCGTCAATGAGGTTTAGAGACCAGACGTCCAAATCCATGGTTTAGCTTTTAGGATTTAGAAGGGAAAATGCATAGAAAGGCTCCAAGATGCAACAGGACAAAGACAGCAATCCTGGACACACCCCTGCCTCCCTTCATTTAAATGGGTTACTATTTGCTCAGGGATGCAGTTCTTAGACCCCTCCACCCACAGAAGTTCACGTAAATCAGAGAAGTTTCCCACTTCACAAGCTGAACACCACCAATCAAACAGGACGCTTTTTCTCTTTTGCCAAATCAATTTGTTCACAAGGGGACAATTTTCAAGAGAAACATTGCCGGTGAGCTTCCTGCCTTGTGCAAATTCTTGTTCCCCTTTAAATGCTCTGTTCCCCTGGTGGGGGCGTACACATCATCTGGAAAGGGATATTTTCTAATAATTATTTTTGCTAAAATGACAAGAACAGATTATGTCAGCCTCGTTGTCCCTCAAAAAGAAATGTGTTATACTTTACATTAGAAATGGGGTTTACAAAAATAAGAGGGACATTTTGGAAGGTAACAAGTCTTTTCTGGTACAACTAGAAAACAGAGTTGGCACAGAAGAATTTAATTGATAACTGAATGAAGATCGTTTACAAATTCTTCTGACAGACGCTTGTGTTTATTTGAAATTAGAGCTTGTGCAGTCAAGGATTGTCACAATACTAAAATTTCAAAGTTGAAACTGATCCCAAAGTACATATAGGAAAAAAAAAAAATCTATATAATTTGACAACACAGCGGGAAAATGGACAACCTTAGTGCGGTCATGCATTTTAAACTGAATAAAATCAAAAATTTAAATTTAAAAATGTAACTAGTACTTAAGAAAGAATGTTTTTACAATGGGCTCAGCAGCTAATATGGTACAGTACAAAATGGATTTCGCAGTGTTCAAACACAAGCAAGAGTTTACTCTAAAGTAAATATAATCATGCAACAAAATTATTTTCACTTAAGAAAAGCATAAAAGCAAACTGCTACACTTAAAAACATCTATCTTTACATGAGCTTTCTGCAAAAAGCACAGAGTGAAAGTGGTGCAAACACACCATTCCATACTGACCATGCCCTAAAAGGCATGTTATTGCCGTGGGTTATTTGAGGTGTGATGCGTATAAATAAGTCCTGAAAGGTGAAATCCCTAGAAGACGCTAAGACATAGCAGGAGAGAAAAGGTCCCCCGTCATTAAAGGAAGTAAGGGGTGGTTGTCCGGGGGGGTACGACGCGCTCGGAGTCGGGGACGGCACGGAACAGCTTGGGCTCTCGTCTGCTGACGTCTTTGAACACCATGATGGAGGCGATGTTCCCGCAGCGGTAGCAGTAGTTGGGTGCTGACCACACGGTGACCAGCTTCTCGTCGAACATAAACTTGTAACCTTCATGAACCAGCTGGTGCGCACGGCAGATGAGTTTCAAGTTGTTGATGTGAACAAACTACAAAGATAATATGAGGGATTACCATCTTTCACGTAAAGGTCCAAATACGTTGCTATTCTATCCTTTCAGAATTTTTCAAATTTACCTCATTTGTGACTTTGGAGCCAAACAGCCAGCCAGCTCCTCGAGGACTGATGGCCCAGGTGTCCACATCCTCCGGGTCTGACCACACAAGATCACAGAAGGCCCCCTTGTGAGGAATCTCCTGGTTGCGTTCGATAGTTCGGATCTGGTCCAAGGTCTTGATGTCAGGAGAAAGGCCACCATGGACACACAGGACTTGCTCATCTATCAACTACGATTAGAGATAAAAAAAGAAAAAAAGATGTCAAAACTAAATAAAGCAGTTATGAAAAAAAAAATGGAGAAACTTCCACTTAAGTCCATATATGCACATTTTTATATGTCTAAATCAAAATCGTAAAAATGTTGTAGATTAAACTCCATCGATGGCTATATCAAACTAAATAATTTTTAGGAAGAAAATCGGAATGGCACCTTCAAAGCTGATTAATGACTCAGATTCAATATATTAAATATGTATTATGAATTAAATTAATTGGGAAATACCTCCCTCTAATTCAAATTTAATGAACAGTATACTGTACAATTATTTTTCTATTAAATTTGTTGATGTAACAATAGTGTTCTAACAATTCAATAAATTACTAATGCATTACAAATATTTCTTAAATATCTATAGAAACTATCTTTGAATCATTTTGAAAAACAAAAAAACAAAAAGTTAAAGTGAAAATTACAGAACCCAGGAATTAAGTGATGTACCACCACAATGTTCTTGTTTATCTGTAATACTGTTAAATATTTCATTTTAATGACCAATCTCTAACAAAACTGAAGCGGCTCACTAACTTGTTGTGCGAGGCTGTCATGATTAAATAAATTCATAAGTTACATTTTGATTTCTGATAACAATGGATGATAAAGATCTTTCTACCCTCATTCATTAAATACATTAGTTTACATTTGTGTAAAGAGTTGCTTTAATGTGTATTGTTAGAGTAAAATGGTTGTGTAGCACGCTAGAAAGCAAAAGTTGTGAACAGCAGCATCTCAGCTCCTGGGTACCTCACTCAAGCTTCAAGTGGTCATTTCAAAAGACTAAGATACTTTAAAAAGTGTCAGACACACATCATTTGAGAGTTCAGAAGCTTCTCTGGTGTTCTTACTTTAAAATAACTGAAAATGTAGCTTTTCCGTAAATAGTTAAAAATAATAAATATATTAATACACAAATTATACTGTGGAAGTCTATGCAGCAAACCATAAACAAAAGGAAGAGCAAACATGCAAAGAATGGGAAAGTTCAGGAATAAACTTACAGCAGCAACGGTCAGCATGTCAAAGACTTTTGTGCAGTACCTCCAGGCATTAGCATTTCCATACTTTGTTTGACATTCATCTAAATAAGAAGGAAAACAAACAAACAAAAAAACACAAGACATAAGATGAGCTTGGTTGGAAGACATAAGGACGCACGTATGATTGTGATGTACGCACCGTAAAAGCCATACACTTGAGTTATCTGACGGCTTTCGTGGTTTCCTCGAAGGAGCGTGATGCGATCTGGCCACTTAGCTTTTAAAGCCAGCAGGTACGTGAACGTCTCCAAACTATAGTACCCTCGGTCTACAAAATCCCCCTACGCAAAGAAAAAGAAAAAAAAAAAGACAGCAAAACATCAGACAACCTTTTTAGAAATGGTTCATTTGAGAATTGATCACAGCAAATAAAAAATAAAACATTCATAAACCAGCAGTTTGCCATGAATTTAGTTGTAAGCTAAGAATAATCAGAAAAAAGGGGTCACTTCGCTATAAAGGTGATATTATTACAGCGATGTGCTGTTTGGAGGATGATTTTCAGTATTCTTTACTGAATTAGCTGCCTAGAATTATGTAAGACTGAGTATTGGGGCCAGTTTAAAAAAAAAAAAGGTTAAAGATTAAATTAATAATTAATGAGGAGAAAAAATTAATTACTAAATTAAAAACTTTATTAAATATGGCGAGAATAAATTACAGTTTTTAAAAATGGACGGATTTAACATGAATGATTTGCCATTGAGTCTTGCGACTCCCTTTTTTGGGCAGAAAGGCATTCATAATCTAATCATGTATTTGGTGGAGTTTTTATTTGAAAAAGTTTAACGTGATCAGACCTAGGGTTGTCACGATACTAAAATTTTCAACTCGATACCGATACTCAGGAAAATACTCGATACTCGATACCATTTTCGATACCACAAGGATAAAAAAAGACCCTAAAATGTAACTGAATTGTGTCTTTTATTTCAAACTGACCTGTTACTGATGTTGTCATGACTGGTGGCCCACATTAATGACCCTAATCCTAACCCTAACCCTGACCCTAACTCTATCCCTCCAGCCTTCATAATAGTGAGAAATAAATATTTTTGGGTTAAACTTGTTTGGACCTATTGTACAAACCTATTTAACATCCACTATTTTAACATAATATTATGTCTAGAGTTTAATTCAGTGTTTGCTAGATTACTTTCACTATTTTTAAATTAATGTCTATATTGCCATGAAGTAATTAGGATTTTCTTGCCTGGGATCTTTCTATTGGTGACCTAATCAAAACGTCCGGTTTGGATGTGGGCGGAGTTAGATATGTACTTGATTAATGGTAGCATGTTATTATTAGCCATTAGCCTCAGCTAGCAAGGCTAACGTCTTGTTAATGATCATAAACAACGTAAATAAATACATAAATAAATCAGAGAGAAGGGGCGCAGCGACGGCAGGTCAGCGTCGCGCGCGCGCTTGCGCGCACTCGCGCGGGCTCGCGCGGTGGTATCGATACTTTTGAAAATGAGTATCGTATCCGGATACAACATTTTAGTATCGATACTTTTTCGAGTATCGATACTTTTGACAACCCTAATCAGACCATGATTTGTTTATGATGTTTGTCTAAATGTAACAAAGACTTTTCTTCATGCTTTGATGCCAAAAGAGATAATTGGAAAACTAGTTAGTTATTCTCAACTCGACAGAGATCCAATAAGATAAAAAAAGATAAGATAAAACTTTGTTGTCATGGTACCAACATACAAAGCACATCTAGATTGATGCATTTTCCTGTAATCAACCAAAGAAATTCTTGGTTCACTGAAACCCTGAAATTTCATCTAAAAATTGACTAATTCTATTTAAAAAGGGAGATTGAGGGAGCTGGATGAAACTACCCCCTGCCCCCTGTACTGATGATCAACTACCACAGTGCAAACCACGCTATCAATTTAAAATACTCTTACTTTGCATTAATTGGCACGATAAAGTACGATTCCCTTTCTTTGTTTTCAGATAATAAAACATCAGCTCCTTACCAAGCCAGCATGATTGCAGCCACAGTGGCATACAGACCAAACACATGATTTCAACCTACGCACTGTACACTAAAGAGGCTACACTAAAGCAGAAAATAGTTATTCCGCTGAATAGGTTGCCAACAGATGTTTACTTTTGAGAAACTGGAATATATTTTAAGATTCCATGACCAACTCGAAGCTACAAAGCTGCACTCCTGCCAGCAGATGAACACAGTTAACTGATCATGAATACAAAAGACAATCCGTAATCATCGATGATGTATCTAAAATTTACGTGGCGAACTATTTGCTCTTATCTTAAAAAGCATGGAACAAGTAAGTGAGCTCTGTGAAGATGTAGGTCTCACAAAAGTGCTTGTTTGACTAGTGAAGATTGTACAATGGACAACAATGGAAAACCATAAGAGTCCAACAAGCTGTATGAAATGCTACTGTGTAATGGCAGGGCACCTTTTCCCATTATCTTTAGCATAAGAAATATTAAATAATAATGAATAAAAGCAGATACCAATCCACAATTACTTGCTGCTGGCTCTTTTAATAGACAATATTTTCATCCAGTCACACAAAATGTGATTCATATGGATAAATGATTTTAAGTGGCCTATGACAACAAGATGTTTAACCTGCACACTTGTTTCCTTTTTTGTAGTCATAATGTAAATGTACCTTACTAAATCTATGTTATATAAAGCATTTCACATGTTATTTCATTTACTCAGTCACAGAGGCACTCATAAAGTGCTTATATATGCACAGTAGCCACATTTAACAAGCACAAAGCAATTCTTCTGTAATCAAAAACAAAACCACATACCGTAATAGTATATGTAGCATTTACTGTCTTGCCTGAAATCAATTGGACACATCTGGAAAGATGTCACTGATTTCCTTCTGTGTTTTGGAAGCCACTGCCTTCCAACAAACCTTTCATTATTTTTATTTTTTTAACTAAGCTGTCATTTCAATATGTTACTTTACTATTATTCAAATACACACTTATAGTCTATGCAATCAGTGCTGCTGCAGGCCCTTAGCTAAGCTGTCCGCATATTATTCAAATATGCATCAAATACTCAAATAGTGTGTTTATGCTGTCTCTTAATTTCAAAACCACACCATCTGTGCAGCTTCCTCCTCTTCCTCCATTTTTACTGTGCTCATATTCTTTAAATCATGTTGCTGTGACTTAGTAATTTTCCAAACTTTGGTGTGTTAAAGTTTTGGACATTTTCACTCAGCAAGAAGTTGGTGCAAGATAATGATCTATAAAACATGCAAACATATAATACTGAGCACTGTTGAATAGCATTCCCTCATACATAGGATAAGGATTTTAACTAAAATATTTTTCTAAATTAATTGTTTGACATACTTTGTATAATCAAAATGTGTTTATCTTACCATGAAAATGTAATTTGTGTCCGGGACTTGGCCTCCAGTTCTGAAGAGCTCAATAAGATCATAAAACTAGACCGGAAAAATCAAAACATATATATTTATACATTAAAAAGACAAACTCTTTGCCATTTTTCAAAAGTTGTGATGGTTTTCTATCCATTGAGAAAGCAGATTGTGTTAGTAGATCGACCCACCTGACCATGAATATCTCCACAAACTGTAACTGGTGTAACAACCGGTTGAACGTTAGATTCTTCCAGCAGTAGATCACAAACATAATCGCATAATCTCTACAAAGAGAGAGAAATATCTGTCACAAAAACCATAACAGCAGAATGTTGCAAGATTTATGATAACCATCAAACGGATGTTTTTCATTCCACCATAAGGGCTAAGAAATCTGTGAAGGAAGAACGACTAAATCTAACTAGTTACCTGAACTTTAAATGATTTCCTCGTTCTATAACAAGGTTTCAAATAAACAAATCAGGTGATAATGTAAATTTGTTGCCCTGTTCAAAAGTATAAAGGGTGTCTAATGGCCCTCGATCTTTAATAACGCTTAGATTTTAGCACCGACAGTAATGGTCGCCTAATTCCATTTAGGTGACTAAAAATACACGCAGCCGTTTTCATCAGACTTATAGCAGACGATTGGTGTAATATGACAAACGAAATAGAACACCAAGTTGTTTCCTACACACAAATTAGTTTAAGTTTCTGAGAAAAATTTGTTGAGCAAACTTTGCACAGTCACGCTATTAGCTTTCACCGGTGCTTTTCGGTCTTATGTTAGGTCGGCTGGAGCACCTTATACTCACCTTTAGGTCGTTTTCCGGCAAATATTTGCAATGTTTGGCAATTTCCACGTATTTATCAAGGTCTAAAGGTGCCATGATCAAAAATATAAATCTGAAAACAACTAAAATGGTTAACCAGCTAGCAAGTTCCTATTTCTCCTTCTTCCTTCTTTCAATTTTCTTAACGTTAAGTTTACTACCGCCACCTGCTGGTTGGAGTGGAGAAATACATCCATTTGCTATACTACTATACTGTTTATACACAGAGGTTGCGGGGCAAATTCTTGTTTTAGTATTACCTCTAGCTATCTTAATGTTTATATATTTCTTTTAACTAATTATTTTGATCTAATATTTGGTCATTTGCTTTTTTCTGAGGACATGAGGGACAATGATTTTCTCTCCTTTGAAGAGAATTCCTTTGATTTCAGAGATCTCATCCCTGTGGTTCCGGTATTCCTCTATATTGGGTCGGCATTTCTTCCTTTCCTACCGCCATCCATTTTCTATGGCTCATTTGAGTGCAGTGAGCTGTGTATCTTGTGCTGTTCTTTGATCTCCAGCAGTTTGTTGATGTTGCTGGTAAGTTTGTGTATTTGTTCCTCCATGTCTTCTTTCAGGCCGCTGTCCTGGTGTTAGATGGACTTACAAGACAGGGTGTCATCCACTGGTATATTTTTCGGTAGATGATGTGTATGTTGTACCTTTGGAGTTGCACAATCATCCTCTGTAGCCACGGTGGTTCTGTGGCCAGAGGTTTTTGAAGGATTGCTTCCAAAGGCTTGTGATCACATTCTAGGGTCCTAGACATACTCGTGGAAACTCTTGCACCTGAGAAGCACTGCGTACGGTTCCTTTTCAATCTGTCCATAATTTTCTTCGGTGCTGTTGAATGACTTGGATCCATTTGCAATGGGCCGTTCCTCCTGGAGCATGACGCTACCGAGGCCGCATTTTAAAGCATCCACTTGAAGTCTCAGCTCCTTCAGAGGGTTAAAGTAGGCAAGCATGTGGTGATGTGTTATCAGATCTTTAAACTGCATGTCATGGTTCTTGTCCCATACAAATTCACTGTCCTGCTCTTGAAGGTATCGCAGGGGTGCATTTACTGTACCTTGGAGAGATTTGGTGCCAACCAGGGAATTGATCGTCCCAAGGATGGTTTCTAGTTCCCCTTTGCTTGTGGGTGGCTGTATTCCTTTGATTGCCTTTACTTTTTGTGGGTCTGGTTTGACACCATTGCGTGACAGCGTGTGGCCAAAGTAGCTGACTTCTGACGCATATATTAGGCACTTGTTGTGATTAAGCCTATCTCCTCTTTCTCAACATGGCTTTGAGATTGTCTTCATGCTCTTGTTTTCACTTCCCAAAGACCAGGATGCCATAGACTATGGCAGGTACGCTGCTGTTTCATGGGCCCGTCTGTTGAACTCATCCTTAGCCGATTGATCCCAAAAGCCAGCCTCAGAAACATGGCTGCTGAATGTGGTCAGCAGGGATGACTTTGTTCAGTTTTATGGCCCAATAGCCAGACCGGGGGTCGAGGACAGTGAAGTAGTGTTAGAATTTGGCTATAATTACTAATTTTAGCATTGTATGCTACCACATGATCTATGTGAATTACTGATTGTTTCATTTTCTTATAGAACTATGTTTTGTGTTGAAGTCTCTGGCTGTGTCCACAGACTCTCTTCTCTCTTTTCCTTTCGGTCTTTTTCTCTCTGTTGTATTAGATCCACGTCTTTAGGTCAACACATACACACCATTTGTTACCACATTCCAATGTCATCTGCATGAATTAGGACCTGGCCTGTTTATTCCCAGAGGTAACTAGCCAATAGGACTTGGTTATGTCCAGTCCTCCTTTGAGGAGGCGGATCAAGCCCAGGAGATAATGCCCATCACACCCAGATCTCAGGGCCCTTTGCCCACTGAGACCCAGAGAGAGGTTTTTGTCAGTGAAGAGCCCAGCGCTGATATACTTAACTGTGTCCAATAAATGTTATTTTTGTACTGTTGGTCTACTCTGGAATATTCTCTGGTTTCCAACTAAAGAATCGGGTTAACAGTATACTTGGTGGTGACGTCCTACAAGGTTTTTAGGGGGTAGTGTGGTCTCTGACTTGCTTTTATGAGGTCTGTGGGGTCCAGGCAGACTCTCAGCTTTCCTGTTTGGGGCTTTTCCCTCAACTACAAGGGCATTGAGCGATTTTACGGGCTCTGTCACTCTACAGATGATGTTACTTGCCTCCATCCTGTGGAGTTCTTGTTTTAGCCTTTCTCGTAGTGCAGTAGGAACTTTGCCCGGTGGATAACCCACTGGTGTGAGGCTTTGGGTTGACACAGAAGGTACATTCCCCTGGAGACCTGCAATGTTTTATCTATATATTTGTATTGATATTTATGCCTGAACCTTATTACCCATGGACCTTTTCATCACTATGATGCCTTTCTTTTAAACTCACCATGTGACTAAATGAAGGTTGATGTGTCTTACAAGGTTATTATTAATTATGGTCCCATAGTTGTAATAAATTTGTGATTTTGTATCATTTTGGTGAACTATTACGTTATTAGAATAATATTTTTCATGTTGACAGTGATTAATATGATATGCATAATTTTAATCAAAAGAGGGGAATTGTCGGAGGAACACTTCTAGTCATTACATACAGCTGTTTAAATTCATGTGCAGGAAACAGCAATCATCATTTGAAAGTAATTCTTAAATTACAGGCAAATCTTATAACTATAATAATGTTGTGTGTTATGTCTGTGTGTTAGCAGACTGCATTCTATAAAAACATTGACATGCTGTTCTCAGTTTCAAGAGCATTTAGTTTTGTTTTAAAGTAAATTACAGGATCTCCCTCCATTTGTCATGACCGAGTGAGTGACTGGTGCGGGCACAAATTACTATCCAGACCGAGTGAAGACAAAAGTTTTTATTTTCACTCTTAGCGAGAGACGACCGGCATGGAGGTGTGGAGACGGAGGGGGTAAGCGATCTACACAGTGTTGTACTATTATAAGTTCAATGTGTTACGCAAAACACATTGTATTTTATTAATTGAAGAAATAACTGTAAAAATAATATGATTCACATGACGAAGATGATGAAATACTGATGTAACATGATCAAAATGAGTGTGTCGTACAAATTCAGTATAGAAGGAATTTTCCGCCAAAGTAGAGAGTGAAACAAATTCAACATAAGTATAAATACATTATTTCATATCTGTAACTTTATTAATTAATTCGTCTTTTTCTTATCATTATTCTTCTTACTATTATTATTATTATTATTATTGTATTATTACAGCAATAGAAATACACAATTTTGGGAAGATTCTGGACCAGCACCATGGAGCCAAATAAAGGTAATATTTTATATGTGCCATATTGGAAAAAGTATAAAATTACTGTGTTTTAGGTATACGATATATGATTTTTTTTAAATCACCAATTGTTCAGGCATGCCTCGTAAGACGAGAAGGTTGAAACAGAGACAAAAGGAGTCACAAGAGGCTGCTACAGGCAGTGAATCTCACCATACTGAAAGCTGTGTTAATGTAGTGCGTTCTATTTCCCTTTTTTTAACTTTATGCCCCACTCCCCTTTCAAAAGTCCCTGCATGGCCCTGTATAAGACAGGAATCTGTGGCAGACTTCAGGAGTATATCATCCCAGAGGTGTAACGCCACCCTCCATCTCCCCACCCTTCCCTTAAGTGCAACTTTGATTCCGTCTTTGTCTGTGTCAGCTCTAACTTCACAGTAGCGCTGTGGCCATTAAAGCTATGTCTGTGATACGGACCGTCGTGGTTTGTGGCAGTATATTGGCTTTACATTTTTTCTTTTGTGTATCCTCCCTTCCACTCCATGATCAGAAGACCATGAAGCAGTTTCAGGTGAGTCGAACAATGAACTGAAAGCACCCGGGCAGGGATGTAGAAAAATACCTGACTAGTGGATTTGCAATCCATATATGATTGTAAAAACAGAATTTATTGTGACAGTTCAAGTTAATCAGAATAGGCTGTGTACTGATTTATTATTTGGCCGTGTAGGTTATGTTGTACTGTTAAAGTCTATACAGTTTTTAATGACTACATGATTTTTACTTTAGATTCTCAGATGTATAAAAATCACTTCATAAATGGCAGGATATACTCTTTAATTTTATGCTCGGCTTTGCACTGCAAATATTTTCATGACTTTAATGAAATTATAATAATTTTTTCCATGGTAGTAAATAGCAAATGCAAGAAAACTAACATTACGCTCTTGTAACCTTATCATTATGTGTGTATATATGCATTTTGCAATGAAACTTTACTGTTCATGGTGAAATAGAAAATGCTGACCACTGTCATCGTACTCAGCACCAGTAAATATAACTTTTGTTTCAAAATACCTGCAGCCTGATGAATGCCAGACCCCTTTCCAGTGGGCGATAGAGAGATTAGGCAGGCAGAGGCAAGTTATTTGGCAGTTGATGGGGTTATAACTCAGTCCCTGTGCTGACTCATTGGAAAAAGGAGAAAACAACAGATAGCTACTTATAGAGTGACACATAAATCAATCAAATAGACTGTGAACAATAGAGAACCTTTACCAAGGCTTCTGTCTATTGTCTCTACTCTCCTGGGGAAACAAATACAACAAAAATTTTGGACAAAGCTTATAATTCCTTGTTTAGGACCTTTTTCCTCATTGTGAAAAAACACACATTTGTTTTTGACAGTCTGATCTTCCAAATATGCTCCCATATCCTAACAGTTTGTTTTGTGTGACTGTAAAGTAACCCCTAAGTGAGTTCCTTAGAGACTCAGTGGATGATTCTACTTGATAGATTTTTCTTTACACAATTTCTAAACATGCATCTTTGGTATCCAGCTAATTAAGGAAATATAATGCATTTTGTCAACAGTTCATTAGTGCAAATTTTCCTTTATATTAATCTCTTTTACATCATTTTACCCTCTACTTCTCTCCAATTTTACTGATGTTCTGGAGTAAATAGTTCATATTTTAAACTCTAACCTTCTTTCTTACTTTTTCTTTTCTTCTATGCATCTTTGACATACATTAATTTAGTCATTGCTTTAGATTCAGCTGTCCTATTGTCATGTAAACAATTACTTCCCCATCAACATATAAATATATATATATATATGTGTGTGTGTGTGTTATTAGTATGCTTAACTGTTAAGCATCAAATGTTGTCAGCAATTTAGAAAAACACAGTTACATCAGCATCCTCAAAAACACGAGCAGATGCTCTCTAGTAGTGCTCTGATGTAATAGGCGGTAGGGAATTTCCAGATATCTGCTCACTGCTGCTTTGTGGGGAGTTATAAGTCTGTGAATGTATGTCTTATTACTCGTGCATGTTCCTGCCTGCATTCACCCATTATGGTACGCAATTTGTCATCAGAAAAATCCCCCCAGTTGCCGCCCATTGGATCCATCTGTTGACATTCTTAGAGCTTGATTAGAGCAGAAGGTACAAAACCTTAGCTTGGATGAGATGCTGAAACC